AACAAATACAACACCAAGAGAGAGAAAGAAAAGAGAGAAAAAAGGGTGTGAGCAAGAAGCAAGAATTTAGCTTCTGTGTGTATTTGAGTTGTGAGTTGTGAGTGAGTTTGAGAGTGTTTTGTAAACAGGAGTGTATTTCTTTTTCCCAATAAAATATCTGCAGTAGTCCGGAGAAGTAGGCATTATTGGCCGAACTCCGTTATCAAATTGGTGTGTCCAATTTTTATTTTTTTTTCCCTTTTATAGATCCGACTTCATGGAAAATTCAGCGTATTTTTCCCAACAACTGGTATCAGAGCCAGATTGTTAATTCTGTATTTTTGTGTGGTGTTACTATTCCGTTGAAAAACGTGAATAGTATAAATTTTGTCGGCGATACAATTCTACCGACGTGTTTTGAAACACGGTAGTTCACAAAAATTACAGAAACGATCCGACAGAGAAGTCAGATCAGAGTCGAAGTGATGGCTGCAGACGAAGGAAAAATGAAAATTGAAAAGTTCGACGGTGCGGACTTTGGCTTCTGGAAGATGCAGATCGAGGATTATCTGTACCAGAAGAATATGTACCAACCACTCACCGGAAAGAAGCCAGAGGACATGAAGGAGGAAGAATGGAGTCTCCTTGACAGACAAGCTCTTGGAGCCATTCGGCTGACGTTATCCCGTAATGTTGCTTTTAACATTGCAAAAGAAAGGACGACAGCAGGCCTCATGAAGGCTCTTTCCAACATGTACGAGAAACCATCAGCCTCAAACAAAGTTCATTTGATGAGGCGATTGTTCAACCTGCGGATGACCGAAGGTGCTTCGGTGGCACATCATCTCAATGAGCTCAACACTGTTACAACCCAGTTGAGTTCAGTTGAGATCGAGTTTGATGATGAAGTACGGGCTTTAATACTTTTGTCTTCCCTACCAGAAAGTTGGAATGCTACGGTCACAGCTGTGAGTAGCTCATCGGGAAACAATAAGTTGAGATTTGATGATGTCCAAAATTTGGTTCTCAGTGAAGAGATCCGGCGGAGAGAGTCGGGTGAACCATCGACCTCTTCTGTATTGCATACAGAGTCAAGAGGAAGAAGTTCAACCAAAGAAAGCAGACACAACAAATCAAAAGGAAGAAGATCCAAGTCCAGAAATCATCGTAGTTCCCAAACCTCGAAGTCAATCGAGTGCTGGAATTGTGGAAAGACCGGGCACTACAGAAACCAGTGCAAGAGTGCACCGAAGAATCAGGAGGCAAAAGAAGAAGCAAATGTTGCCTCATCCTCAGGAGGAGATATGCTGATATGTTCTTTGGAGAACAGAGAAGAGTCTTGGGTGTTAGACTCTGGAGCATCCTTTCATGCTACCTCACAGAAGGAACTACTCGAAAATTATGTTCCTGGTAACCTTGGTAAAGTTTACCTTGGTAATGAGCAATCATGTGAGGTTGTAGGGAAAGGTGCAATAAAAATCAAGCTAAGCGGGTCTGTATGGGAATTGAAAAATGTCAGATATATTCCCGACCTGACGAAGAATTTAATCTCCGTGGGCCAGCTAGCCAGTGAAGGCTACACGACAATCTTCCATGGTGATGATTGGAAGATTTCAAAGGGTGCGATGACAATTGCTCGAGGCAAAAAGAGTGGTACTCTTTACAAGACCTCAGGAGCATGTCATCTGGTTGCAGTTGCAGCAAATGAAAGTCCCAATCTATGGCACCAAAGACTTGGGCATATGAGTGAAAAAGGGATGAAGATCATTCACTCAAAAGGAAAATTACCAGGCCTCCAGTCAATAGAAATTGACATGTGTGAAGGCTGTATACTTGGAAAGCAGAAGAGAGTCAGCTTTCAGACAAGTAGAAGAACTCCAAAGAAGGGGAAGCTTGAGCTCATCCACTCTGATGTTTGGGGTCCAACGACTGTCCCATCCGTTGGTGGGAAGCAATACTTCGTGACTTTTATCGATGATCACTCCAGAAAAGTATGGGTTTACTTTCTAAAACACAAGTCAGAAGTATTTGAAGCTTTCAAGATTTGGAAAGCTATGGTGGAAAATGAGACAGGCTTGAAGATCAAGAAGCTCAGATCCGACAATGGTGGTGAATACGTAACAACCAGATTCAAGAAGTTTTGCTATGAGCACGGGATCAGAATGGAGAGAACCGTGCCTGGTACGCCTCAACACAATGGTGTAGCTGAGCGTATGAATCGAACGTTGACTGAAAGAGCCAGAAGCTTGCGTGTACAGTCAGGCCTACCAAAGCAGTTCTGGGCAGAAGCAGTCAACACAGCAACTTACTTGATCAACCGAAGTCCATCGGTACCACTGGATCACAAGTTACCAGAAGAGGTATGGAGCGGAAAAGAAGTAAAACTCTCGCATCTTAGAGTTTTCGGGTGTGTAGCTTATGTGCACATCAGTGATCAAGGTAGAAACAAACTTGATCCAAAATCAAAGAAATGTACTTTCCTTGGTTATGGTGAAGATGAGTTTGGCTACCGCTTATGGGATGACGAAAACAAAAGGATGATCCGCAGCAGAGATGTCATCTTTAATGAAAGAGTGATGTACAAGGACCGGCATAACACAAGTGCCAGCAACTCAGAAGTGAGTGGGCCAGTTTATGCTGAGCTGGAAGATATCCCAGACAGTCCTATAACGAGGAGTCCTCAGTCAGAGGAATCAAATGAAGAAAGTGATGTGCAATCAGAACCTCTTACTCCAGCTCCTGTATTGAGAAGGTCCTCTCGGCCCCATGTGCCTAACAGGAGATACATGGACTACATGCTGCTGACTGATGGAGGGGAGCCTGAAAGTTATATGGAAGCTTGTCAAACCACAGATGCTAGCAAGTGGGAGCTTGCCATGAAAGATGAGATGAAGTCCTTGATCTCAAATCAGACATGGGAACTAGTCAAGTTACCCATGGGAAAGAAAGCACTTCACAACAAATGGGTGTATCGGGTGAAGGAAGACCATGATGGTTCCAGGAGATACAAAGCCCGACTGGTTGTCAAAGGATTTCAGCAGAAAGAAGGAGTTGACTATACTGAAATCTTTGCTCCAGTTGTAAAGCTCAATACTATCAGGACTGTGTTAAGTATTGTGGCTAGTGAAGAGCTCTACCTAGAGCAATTAGACGTGAAGACTGCATTTCTTCACGGAGACCTAGATGAGGAGATCTATATGCACCAGCCTGAAGGATTTTCAGATGGAAAGAAGGATATGGTGTGCAAATTGAAGAAGAGCTTGTACGGCCTGAAACAAGCTCCAAGACAGTGGTATAGGAAGTTCGAAAGCTTCATGCACAAGGAAGGTTTCCAGAAGTGCAATGCCGATCACTGTTGCTTCTTTAAGAAGTATGAGTCCAGCTATATCATCTTGCTACTTTATGTCGATGACATGTTAGTAGCAGGATCAGATATGAAAGACATCAGAAAATTAAAGATGCAGTTGTCAAAAGAATTTGACATGAAAGACTTAGGCCCAGCAAAGAAGATTCTTGGAATGCAAATCACGAGAGATAAGCAAAAGGGAGTTTTGCAGTTATCTCAGGCAGAGTACATCAACCGTGTTTTGCAGAGATTTAACATGGACAAGGCTAAGCCAGTAAGTACACCTTTGGCCAGCCATTTTCGTCTATCCAAGGATCAGTCTCCTCAAACAAAAGAAGAAGAAGAGTTCATGGCTAAGATTCCTTATGCTTCAGCCATTGGAAGTTTGATGTACGCGATGGTCTGTACGAGGCCAGACATTGGCCATGCAGTGGGAGTTGTGAGCAGGTTTATGTCAAAACCAGGAAAAGCTCATTGGGAAGCAGCCAAATGGATTTTGAGATATCTACGGGGCACAACAGAAAAATGTTTGTACTTTAGAAAAGGAGATCTAAAGTTACAGGACTACGTAGATGCAGACTTTGGAGGTGAAGTTGATCACCGAAGAAGCACCACCGGTTATGTTTTCACTGTCGGAGCTACAGCTGTTAGTTGGATGTCGCGGATACAAAAGATTGTTGCTCTATCCACTACAGAGGCTGAGTATGTAGCAGTGACAGAAGCCAGTAAAGAATTGATATGGCTTCAAGGATTGTTAGCAGAGTTGGGTTTCACTCAAAAGGAGAGTGTCTTGCACAGTGACAGTCAGAGTGCAATACATCTGGCAAAGAACTCAGTGTTTCACTCCAGAACAAAGCACATTGATATACGTTATCATTTCATCAGATCTCTGCTTGAGGATGAAGTGTTGACTCTGAACAAGATTGTAGGAAGCAAGAACCCAGCAGATATGCTAACGAAGGTGGTGACCATTGACAAACTGAAGTTGTGTTCAACTTCAGTTGGCCTGCTAGATTAACAGACCAGAGAAGACTACTGCAGTAATTGAGGTGTGAGGACAGATTGAAATCAGTCCTCAAGTGGGAGATTGTTGAGTCAAAAATGGCTGCAAGCCATGTTCTTTGAAGCAGCAAAAGAAGACAAAGAATGGCAGCCTTTTGACAACCAATGTTGAACGTGAGCATTTAATACAAATGCTGCCTTTGTAGAAAAATAGCTGAAGGTGTGAATGCCTTTATTTTTGCTGCTAAACGTGATCAATTTGTGAACAAATTGATGTGTTCCTTGGCTATAAATAGAGGAGCAAAATGGCAGAGAACAACACCACAACGAAAAAGAACAAATACAACACCAAGAGAGAGAAAGAAAAGAGAGAAAAAAGGGTGTGAGCAAGAAGCAAGAATTTAGCTTCTGTGTGTATTTGAGTTGTGAGTTGTGAGTGAGTTTGAGAGTGTTTTGTAAACAGGAGTGTATTTCTTTTTCCCAATAAAATATCTGCAGTAGTCCGGAGAAGTAGGCATTATTGGCCGAACTCCGTTATCAAATTGGTGTGTCCAATTTTTATTTTTTTTTCCCTTTTATAGATCCGACTTCATGGAAAATTCAGCGTATTTTTCCCAACACCAACTTTCTGGTAGCGCGTCATTCCAGGAACCTGCTCTGCCGCGCGTGCCAGTTGCCCACGCCGTGGTTCGCCTCCGGCGCTGAGCTCGGGCCCACCGCCTCCGCCTGCGTGAAATGCGCCGATCGGGGGGAAGGCGGCGGGGACGATCCGCAAGAGACGGTGGAGGAGATTCAGGTGGTGCGTTGGTCGCCGCCGGCCGAGAGCAGCTCGAGCGGCGAGGAGGAGGCGGAAGCCTGCGGGAATGCGGTGGTGTTTGGGAAACGACGCCGTTTGGACGGTTCTTCTGCAAATAGCGGATGCAATGTAGTTATTATTGTTTATTTATTTATTTCTAAATCTCTTACGAAATAATTAATTAGTTAATTAATTTTATGTGCGATTGTGTGGTGACGAGTTTTGTTATTTTGCAGGAAGACGAAAGCTCGTCATCCTCCTCGGCGCGTGCGACGGTGCTGCCAAATGCGGGTAAGAATCGGATCGGTGCACGCGGGTCGGGACAGATTGGAGTCAATGATGGGCATTTGACCAGGGCCGAATAATCAAATTTACCATGGCCGTCGATATGATTGATGTTCAGATACTGACTTGTAGCGGTTAGATATCGAGGAAAAAGAAATCTCTCTTTTACCTACTACAAGAGCTTTATTGTGATTTTTCATATTTAGAAAAAAAAAAAAAAAATACTTACGTTGTAATTGGGATTTTATCAGGTGATTAATTAGAACTTAGGCAAAACTTGAGTGATTTGATTAATGTCATTGTGTGGAATTCTTTGTCCCCTGACTTTGTTGTTACTACATGTGGTTGAAATTAGTTATAACAATCTTTTGAATTTAAGATTTACAAAAAGGTTTTGAATATTCGACTCACAAAGCAGTGTTGAAATTGGTTATAACAATATTTTTGAATCGTGTTTTAATTTTTAAAATCCAAGCCAAAAGTTAATATGTCCACCAATTCTGTACCAAAAAATAAAAAATATGTCCACTAATTAATGTGATCAGAAATTAACATTTCATATGCATTGAGTATGTGACTACTAGATAATTTTAATCAATGAACTAACCAATCGACTAATGTGACAGGAAAATTAATATACTATAGTGTAAGTATCTATATATATATAATTACTAGCTAATAGAATTTAATAAAACTTATTTAATTTTACCTATGTGGCAATTTAACAATTTTCCCTCCAAAAACCGTTACATTTTGATGTATTTAATCTTTCATTTAATCATTAAATAATTAATACTCATCACTTCAAAATTACAAAAATCATTTTAAACTTTTGATTAATGACAATTGACCATATAATGTGTTGACCGGATAATGTGATTAGATGTTATTATTGTTGTTACATTTAATTTTTTTTTTTTGAAAATAAAAAATATATTTGAAATTTCTAAATAAATAATAAATAATTCAAAAATAAAAGACGTACCAAAATATACATTACAAACAATCAGATAAACGCAATTTAAAAAAAAAATATTCCAACTCTTTTAATTGTAAATTTGGTCTGCAAAAAAGTGAAAGAAAAATAATTTATCATTATATGTACAGACTCACAATAATTTATTTATATCTGTGCATTTGCACAGGTGGAATACTAGTGTAATTGAAAGATCATGTAATTTTGACATGAGTTACTTAATACTACCTCTTATTCTTTTTAAACGTCATTTTGGCTTTATTAACTATTTACCAAATAAATGTTGTTTTGGATCTTTTGTACATATTTTTCCATTATTACCCTCATTTAGCTAATAAATACACTATATCTTTTCATATTCACTATTCATTTTTTTTCAAAACATCATTCTCTATCTTCATTAAAGAAGATTATTATTGGCAAAAAAAAAAAATATTCTTAATTACTGTGCAACTTCTTAAAATGACACTTATTATGAATAGGAGGAAGTATATTTTATTGTTCGATTTCATACATTTACATAGTGAGAAACTCACTTTTGAAGGCCGTTGTATTAATATTTAATATAAATGTTTTTTTTTTTCTTACTTTTTTTCTTTTGATTGGAGCTATACCTATATAAGTAGGCAAATTTAATTTTTTTCCAAAGATAAACATACCTTATTTCAATATCAAGGTCACAAACTTGACCAGTTACTTTTTTAATTCACCAAAGACTGCGAAGCAAATTCCTCAAACGGGAGAAGTCACATGTTTCATGTTAGCAATATCTTAAAAACGACTGAACCTTATGTTTCAGCGAAAAGATCTCGATCACGATTTTATTTTACTAAAGAATTACTTAGTACTTAACATTTTTAATATTTTCGCCATACATATCTGGGAAATTAGTGGTTAGAAGCTTCACCAACTTAATTAGAATAATTTAAACAGAAACTTATGGCAGGCAATGGCTTAATATTTTCATAAGAGATTCAGCTTTTTGATGTGGACACAGAACTTGATTTTTATATTAGACATGTCTAATAGTTAGACAATTGTATTTTTCAAACAATATATATATATATATATATATATATATATATATATATATATATATACTTTAAAATTAAAATATCATATACATACGTTACGCACTAATAACACGATCTCATATTGAACGCTTATTATTGTGGATATGAATCATAAATTGCATTATGTCATACTTTCAAATTCAATGGTAAATAATATTACTTATATAGAAACTTCATTAATATGAAATAATGAAGAGCCTGCAAAATTGTGGTTGAGGAGATTTCTCGATGTATGTCCACTTGCCTTTCATTTCTCTTAAATATATAGATAGCACGTTTTATTTGATTATTTCCCTTTTTTATTCAATAATTTAATACCATAGTTGGAATGTCATTGGAGAAATGGAACAAAATAAAACCCAAATAATTGAATTGCTAAACGAAATAAGCCGCTCAGTAGTTTGAGCTCTGTCACATATGGATAAATAGCAATTTCTATATAATATCTTAACCTTTTAAGTTCTGGCATGATTTGTTGTTAATCAACGAGCAGTGCTTGAGCTCGTTTATCTGCTCAGCTCGATAACGGCTCGAGCCCAAGCTAAAGTTCAGCTCCAAACACCTATATATATATAATAAGAATTAATATTTTTCAAAAATAGTAAGCAAAAAAATAGAGAATATTAATTGCATTCCATTTTTGGTATGTTTTTTTAATTTTTTTAATAAAAAATCAAGTAGCATTTAATGCTAGCACAAATCATGAGATTTGTTATATAGATGTATATTTGAATTTCAAACTTCAAACAAAACATGTCTAAATGTATTTTGAATTTTTTAGGGAAAAAATTTAACAAACACGTTAAAGATGTCATACAATACATATATTTATATATATTATCTTAACATATAGGTTAATTAGTTTCATATCTAAACAATATATATTTAAACAATATATAAACAAATATAATAATTTATCGTACAATACAGACAAATATATAAACAATATATTTATATACAAATATAATAAACAAATATAATAAACAATACAAACAAATATACAAACAATATATAAACAAATATAAGAAGTTGTCACGTGTATATTTTGTACAATACATATATTTGTATATATTATCTTAACATATAAGTTAATTAGTTTCATATCAACACAATATATATTTTAGGAACTTAAAGATTCATAACATTACTGACGTCATTTATATTTATAATATATTGTCACGTACATTTTACTACAATTGGTAACTTTTTTAAAATTATTTGAATAACTGGAGGTTGATTTGTAATTTTAATTTCAAATTCATTCAAACATTTAAAGGAAAATATCATAAGAAGATTTTTTTGATACATTTCATTTTATCTCAACTTACATATAATCATGTTCCTACCTAACATTAAATTTGCTTATATCTTTTTATATTAATTACATCACTAAATAATATTAATATACATTACATATTTATCATTATATAACAAATATATTACTTCTACAAGTGTTATAAATAATAATGACATTATATGATAATAGATTTTTTGATAGATTAATAATTGAGTATTATGATGAACCAAAATATGTAAAATTATTATTATTTTGTATTAAAAAATAAATATATATGTTAAAATATTATTTATAATAATATATTGGTTCATCATGCTATTACAATAAATTTTATAATAAAATAATATGAGTATTATACGAGGAACAAGATTACGTAAAATTGTTATTTTTCTTATATCAAGGAATAAATATATATAATGAAACTAAATTTATATTATTATAAACATGTGAGCGAGATAATATATTAATTAATTTACGGTCTAGCGCTACCACTACCAGGCTCAGGTTTAATGTCTCGACAAAAAAGATGACGTTGATAAAAGAGGTAAAAAAATAGATGATCAAACTCTATTACATTTTTAGGCCTTAACTGACAAGCCCTATTGTCCACTCATTTAATATCTCCCGTGAATCACACGAGCTACTTAACAGACAAACTCTGTGGAAATGACTTATTTAATATTTATGTCCCGTGCATCGCACGGGCTACGTACTAGTTTACAACTCTTTAACTTTCACCTAAAAGGGAGATGATAACAATAATATTCTCATAACATTTAACACACATATCTGTAGCTTGTTTTGGCAGAGCCTGCGGGCTGAAAGCCCAATCCTCCCAGGCCCAAGTTTTGGGGGGCGTTAAGAAAGGCTGATGGGTTCCCCACACAGCTTTTGCAACTCAGTTTCCAAGACTTTGAACAAGTCTTGCTTTGTTCGCCTGTAAATCCAAGATCGAGCATCTTGATCCCAATCAAACCTAGACGGACCACTGCAAAAGACGTATACATTTCAAGGATTTGAGAAAAAAAAAAGAATAAACCACTAAAACGTAATGTGATTGTATATGGGCCAAAAAGTAACTAAAATAAATGAGATGTATCGAGTTTGATATTTATTATAGTTTTTAGTTTACTTGTTCAACCACACAAATAACAACCACCTATACTTCTCAATTATGTTTTCATGTTCATTAAAACAAAATTGAAGGAAGGGTAAGGCTAAATTGGTCGGTGCATATTAGCCATATCTTCATACTATGTGTTAATTCATTGTGAGATGAAAAGGTACTCTACAAGAATTTCGCGCCTCGAAAAGTTTTTTATAAGTTATAGTTTGACTTATGCGTCGTCAATCTACATGTACTCTGAGTTATAGTTTGTCCCCTCTATTTCATATGGATAAATTTAGTTCTGCCTCATACTATTTCCGCTAAATACAGATAAATATAAGCACGTTATAAATAAAGGAAACCAACAGAACCTCAACAACTTAAGAAGCTTAGAGATGAAATATTTGTCGCCAAAACATTAAATGTAGGTGAACAACGGTACGAAGTTTTAGTCAAGTGGTAATGTTAAGCTATTCAAGACTAGTTGAAATGCAAATCAAGCCAAAAATAACAAAATACAAGCAAAGTATTGCAAAAAAAAATAAAAATCCAGACATTAACATCAAGCTAGCAATTTTTTTTTATTCAAATTTTTTAGCAAAGGTAACAAAAGAGGAAGAATAAGATTATGATCAAGGAAGAGAAACTGATACCTCACTGGAGAGGACATCCAAATCTGTCTATTTGGTGTTTGCTTGTTTATTACATAAGTTCCCAAGCTACCGAGCTTCAAGGTTAAGACTTCATTCTGAAAATGGACTTTATATGAAAACAGACAGTAACATAATGCTTGGCAAGAAAAGAAGTATTAATTTCGACTGATTTATCTCACCCCATAGTCTACGTCAAACCCATCGATCTCCACAGTGTCACCATAATCCTGTAAGGTATAAAAACCCCAGTCAAACACATAAGGTATCTTAATATTATTTATCTGAAACTAGGTAAAGAGATAATATATGCATCTCAACTAGCAATTATAATAAACAAGATCAGTATTTCGCAAAGCAAAATCATAATGTGCATGCATTGCCAACTTTCTTAGCGAGTTTCCAAATTCAAATAAATCACCAGACTCAAAATAACACGGCAAGGCAACACAAAGCAACCTAATCTAAGAAATCAAAAATTATGAGTTGTTTGAGATTTCAATATAACATCAATAGGATGATCATTATAAGCATTTGTTTCGTTTTTCATTGTAACAAGTCAATCACCCCAAAAATTACCTCGAGCTTCTCGAGCAGGTTATGAATGGTAGAATTAGCCAGACTGTGATACTCATCTTCCTGCAGCATAGAGCTATGGACAAGCAACATATGCATAAACTTAACACAAAACATAAATTATCCTTAACAAAACACTTTCGAACCTAACATAAGCTTCAAATTTACGAAATGTCTATATAGGCCACCAGACAGAACTTATAACCCAGTAAAAAAAAAAAACTCAGTCCCACTTCAAAAAGTAAAATGCCACCGATTAACCGACATGAAAAACCTTCTCGTTTCAAAATTCCAACAATCATTTTTTCAAAAATTACCCCGGCCAAGTATCAGACTCACCGGTAATCAATGGCGGAGGGCCCAAAAGACTCCGTCTCCCTCAGAGAAGACAGACGGCGACAAACAACGCCGTTGTATGAGAAATTAGGGCGAGGGAAAGGGGCAGACGTCGAAGGCTCCGGAGAGTGGTTAGAGAGAGATAAAAGTATAAAACTTCGGCGGGCTTGAACTGACGACGACGACTGTGGATGTCTCAAAGCTCTCAACAGCGTCCTTCTCAGTGTAATTGCCATTTTTTACAGAAATTTCTCGCTTCTGATGAGAAAAGAGTGCACAGAAGATCGAGCTCGGGGCATTTTGTTGGGCTTTCCTGTGGGGCTTTCCATCTTTTGGGGCCCAACAAAATCTCTTGACATTATCCTTCAATATACCTTTTTGGGCCAGACTATCATAGATTAGTCTTGACAACTCATTCGACTTAACTCGTAGGGCCTATGGTGGCCCAATGCTCTCTTATGTTTCAAGCTATCTTTTCTTTTTTTCTTTTTTTCTTTTTTTTTTAATCACCATTTTGAAAATTAAAAGCTACTAGTACAACACCCACATATTACATGGGTGTGGACGGGGCCTCATCCCGGACCGTTCATGGAGGGATTCATAAAAGTGGGATCAGTATCCGGACAAGTCAAATCTAGGATCGTCCCGGCCCGCGCCCACCCCTACTATAAATAATCAACATATTTATAGATAATCCGAACCTAAATATATTTGGATTAGAAGTAAATTAAATCTACCCAAGCCTAATAACGAAGCATGTAATTTTGCCACATAGGATCTCGAAGCATGCGAGCCTGCCACATAGGCTCAACACGTATTGAATCAAAAATAAGGGGTTTTCAAGCATGTGTTTACATAACAACCAAAATATTTAAATCTCTAAATGATATTCTTTACTCTGTTAGAATTCTGTCGCAGGTTCGGATAAAGTTGTTTAATGATTCGAGTCGTTCGTAAGCTTGACTCGTTAAGGCTCGAACTCAAGCACATTTAGTTAATATAAGTTAAGACTCGGGTTGGACTCCTTAATATTGGTTAACGAGGAGGATAGTTCAAAATTTGGCTTAATAAAGATTGTAGACCGAATATGAGTATCAGCTAGGGTTGAAAACATGCTTTTTCACTATTTTTAAATGAGAAGAAGTTAAATAATAGTGACTGGTAAAAGATTATGCTAATCAAGGATGTATGTGGATTTGATTCTTCTTACTTTTTCTATTTATAGATTACCAATAGAAATATGCTAATAATACTTCCTTGACACAACATTTATAGTTTTCTTCATAACATATGTTCTTCAAAACTCCACCCAATGTTCGCTCCTTCACTGCATATTCTGCATCTTCTATTCTTCGTGAAATTCGAAATTGAATGACAAGGATGTTAATTAAGAAGACTACACAATCACAGAAGTTAATAAAAAAAGATAAAGAGAAAAAGAAGATAAGAACTTTAATACTGAAATGAAAAAAGAAAAATCTGGGGTGTACGTTCTTAAAGATTTTTAGGATTTTAACAAAGTTTTGGCATAAAAGGATCAACTTTTGTGTAATGAAACAAGAGCTGTATATAACTCTCTGTGTTGTCTTAATTGCATGGGAATTTTTATAACTTACTCCCTCACTTTTATCATTATTTCTGGAATATTATTTAGATTTTACATTATAAGGATAATCTTGTTTGTGTAAATGTCTTGATCAGTTATTGCAATGGATTGTAGACTAAGCCATCCTAGCTATATTATCAGTATACATCACTATAATTTCTGATAATATGATGCACAATATGATAAAAACAAGAATCATTAATTTCCAAAAAAAACATCATTCATAGGAAAAAAAGAAAAAACAGAGATAAAAAAGACCAATTTTTCCTAAAAAAAAAGTAAAACAAATTTGTTTTATTTCCTTCATTCCATCAACCTATAACTAGAATGAAAAGCAAAAACCTAAGATGAACACTCAAAACAAATTAACTAGAAAAAACTTAAACCTATAGAACCTATCCAATCATGGCAGCCTCCGAAGGCAATTGAGCTTGGCGAGCAACTCGCGCACCAACCATCCCGACATTATCCCGTAACCCTCTTGCGTCAAGTGAATCCCGTCCCAACTCACAAACCAATTCGCATTCCTACAAACAGGAACTCCGTGGGCCCCACACATGCTCGTCATGTTGAAATTGTACTTACCTCCCGTCCCACAGCAGGCCCTTTGCGAATCGAGACCTTCACAAAAAAAAAATAATAATAAAAAAAAAATAAAAAAAAATCAAATTTCAAAACATCAAATTACTTAATTTGTCTATATAACTAGCTATATATAATTTGTGTGTGTTTTTGCGCGTCGTACCATGATGTTTGGCGAAATGTAGAAGGAACTCGTAAGCGTTGTAGTAATCAGCGTAAACGATTAGTGCATTCGGTTTTTCTTCTTGAATCATACGGTTAATCCCGTTTTGCAGCTCCCGATTGTGGTACACTGCAAACTCGTTTAGTTGCTTTAGGCAAAGGTTATTATCGTAATCCGACGAATTGTTCGTTTGGAAGGCCGTCTTGTAAATTGGAAGGCAGCCGGTCGGGAAGTTACCCGGCACAACAACTCTCTTTGCCCCCAAATCAATTGTTCTCTACAATAATTGGTAAGAAAAAAAAAAATAAAAAAAAAAAATAAAGAACAGAACCAACATTAAGTAAAAACTATTTCCTTTTTCTCTTAAAACAAAAACATATGTCCAAAAATCTTGTTTTTTTTAAGGGTGCCATTGATTTAGAACTTACCCGAACACCGTCGAGAATAGCTTTGACCACTTGAGGAACCATTTGCCTCATCTCGTCCATTGACTTCCCTTGAAATATCGCGTAATTGTAATCGTTTCCACCAATTTCGCCAACCATGAAGAGCGCGCGCTCGACACATTCTGTAACATTTGCTACTCAAAATCAAATCATTTTGTACTTAATTATTTAAGGCAAAATTACCCCTAATATCGTGACTTTTTTCGAAAATTACAATTTAATCACAACCTTTTTAACTTTTGCAAATTATATCACAATCTTCAATTTGTGATATAAAAGGTCGTGATTAAAGTACAATTTGAAAAAACATGTCATGATCTTAAACAAGTAATTTGATGTTAAAAATCGAATATCTAACAATACCTTCATGATTGCTGCAAGTCGAGTTCAGATGTGTCGACAGCCAATCCAGCTGGACGTCGAGAGAGCTCCTTGTCACCGGAGACAATACACGCATGGCGGCCAGCGTGTCGGATGACAAGGCAGTGGACCCTGCAACCGCAAAATTGACACCGTGGCTGAATTCGCCGTTCGGGTCCTTGTAGGCGTGAAGAAGAGGAAGCCCGGAAGCTCGTGCTGTTAATTTCGTCGATTAATAAAAAAAAAAAATCGTTAATTAGTATACATCAAGACAATTAAACTAATAAACTCAAAAAATTTGAAGAAAGGAAATAGTTACCTATGAAATCAATCATGAGAAGGCCATTGGAGCAGCGGCCGGTGGGTGTCCGGTAGAAGTCTTTGCCGTAAGGTAAGCGCGCGAAGGGAGTCGAGGCACCAATCGGCACCTCCCGAATCAAATTTCCGGTGTCAGAAATCGAATCGCCTAATTGGAATATTTTGTCGAACCCGCAAATTCGAAGAGGATTAGCCTTCACCATTAGAGGAGAGCAAAAGCAGGACAAAATAAGCAACAAAGAAACTATTTTCGCAGGAGCCATACTTGGGTAAAGAAATAAATTAAACACGAGATTATAGTTTAGAACTTTTTTTTCTATTTTTTTGGTGTATGCATGAACATGAAAGGTTGTAGGTGTATTTATAGTAGTTGAAGATCAGATAGTTTGATTAGGATTTGTAATTCTAATCAGACATGGAATAGGAAGGATATAGTTGTATTTTTATATTTTTATAATAGTTGATGGTCGGGTAGTTTGATTAGTATTTTGTAATTCTAATCAGCCATGGATTTGGAAGGATATTTGACTTTGTACACGTCTTACAATTATAAGAGTCCTAAGTGATGACTAATATATAGTTGTATTCAAATATTGTTACTGCTCAACCATATTAATCACTAACTCGGTGTTAATTAAAAAAAATTATATATTAGAATTAAAAAAATTAAATTTTTATTTTACATTTGAATATATATACTTCATAAAACTTGCATTGCTATGTTATTTAGTTTATATTTATTAATATAAATATATTTTTGTATGCATATGATATGAATATCGAATAGAAAGTTATTAAAATACAAATTATCATATAAGATATCTCAAGGATGTATGACTAACAAACTAAATACGCGTCTATTAACCCTCTCAACTAAAGAATTAATTATTTTGTTTATATAATTATAAATGATTAGTTTATCACGCAAAAAGTATAATAATTTCTAAAATATATTAGGTGAGAAATTCTATATTTGCTTTTCAACTTTTGCTAAAAATTTTAAATACATATTTAAATAGTAATTTGTTTTTTGGCATTAATCCAACAAAAAAATGTTCGCCTACAGTTGGTATATTAAAATCAACTTTATATCAAATCTCATGATTTTTCACCTACACATACCTATTAAATTCCTACATTCAGTTATCGAAGTACCGATATCTAAACGTGTGGTACTACAAAGGCGCCTTATCTTCCTTGTTCGCTCCAACTCCTTTTTCTAATCGGCCATTTTCACTCTCTGCCATCACAAAAACCAGAGGAAAAAGAAGAAGAAAAGCCCACCAATGGCGTCTACAACTACACTATCTCCCACGATTATCCCATCTCAGGTACTTCAGCATCATTAAAACCCCCAATTTGTTCTCAATTGGAACCGCTGGTTTTATTTTTATTTTAATTTTTGCAGCTGAGCTCGAGCAAGAATGGGGTGAGCTCCGCCTCAAATTTCGCGCTTCCGAAGTTCGGAAAGTGTAAAGGCAAGAGGATGAACGTGTCCTGTATGGCTACGAGTGTGCCGGCCGATGATCGCGTGCCGGACATGGGAAAGAGGCAGCTCATGAATTTGCTTCTCCTAGGCGCGATCTCTCTTCCGTCCGGTGGAATGTTGTTGCCTTACACTTACTTCTTTGTTCCTCCTGGGTCAGTTCTCTCTCTCTCTCTATCATATGTTGTGGTTCTTACTGTTTGTTATCTTCTTTTGTGATTTGTGGACTGAATTTGAAGTTTGGTGGTGAAATTGAGCTGTTTGGGTCTATAATTGTTTGGATTAATTGATTGAATTGAGATGTGCTGCCCAGTTTTCAGTTACAAATTTTCTGTTTCCTAAAGTGTGCTGCTATCTTGATGTGTCTTGGTTTTTGTATATGGACTTGGAAATTCCCGCTTATTCCCCGATTGATGCCATTGTCTTTGATTTGTAATCGATTTTGCTACTTGATCAAATTCAACATCAATAACTAGATAAAATTACTATATTGAGAATCTCGGAGGAGCTTGCATTGTGCTAGAGTTGGTACAGATTCACAGTTTGAGGGATAAAATCATATTGCTCACTCTACCGACTCCGCATTTGTGTTGAATTCACGCCCGTTTGTTCGTTAATATAATAGTACTCTCTTATTATACAAGATTCACTTTTTTAAGTATCGAATTTACTGATTTTTGCCCAAGCACATTACTCGGGGCATGTTGTTATTTGTGCCTTTGCACAACAAAATCCTTCTTCTACGGACTTTGTCAAGTTTTTAGAACAAGCATATCACAATTAATGGCTTCGCTTGTTACTTCTACTTATGTCACTAAACTTGACCAAATCGGGATTTATCACGAGCAGTGGTCGTGGGTCTGGTGGTGGTACTGTTGCAAAAGATGCTTTAGGTAATGATGTTATTGCCGATGAATGGCTCAAGAACCACGGACCAGGTGATCGGACCCTTACACAGGGGTTAAAGGTAAGATATTCATTTACTTATTTGAATCAAGTGAATATGGGAAACTCTGTAGATATTATAAGTTTATAAGTAATATACTGTTCACTATTTAGTCTATGTTTGATAAACCTTGGATAAGTTAAGTTAGTTGGTAGCTTATAATTGATAGCATATGACTTATTGCTGAAAAACTAGTTGACATGACAAAAGTGGTTGGTAAAATTAGTGATAGGTTAGCTGAAATGAAAATTTCAACGGGTTTATTTGAAAAGCTAGCTAAGAAAGCTTATGAGATGATCTCGAGCTTTTTAAAAGGGCTTTTCCTACCATACCAAACTGATTTGAATACAAGAAGTTTATAAGCTAACCAAATAAGCTTTAAGGTAGTTTATAGCGCTTACCAAACACACTCTAAATTGGTTTTTAATGAAATATTAGGGTGATCCTACATACCTTGTTGTGGAGAATGACCGAACTCTCGCAATTTACGGTATCAATGCTGTTTGTACTCACCTCGGTTGTGTTGTCCCATGGAATGCTGCTGAGAACAAGTTTATTTGCCCTTGCCATGGCTCTCAGTACAACAATCAAGGGAGAGTTGTTAGAGGGCCTGCTCCTTTGGTAAGCCGGTTAAATTACAGTCAAGTGGAAAGCAAAAAACAGAAAAGCTAATCCTTGTGAAGTTATAATTTTGACATGAAGGGATCTGTTTGGTGTGGCTAGAAATACTCATTAGTATTCTAATCATAAAAATACTGTCCACAATTTAGAAAATAAGCACCCCTAGAATAATAACAACAGGGTTTCTTTGTAATTAGGTTAAACGAGTAGTACATTTATTGTGTTCTTCTCGTTTTCCTCGGATTCTCGACGAGATAAAATGTTATGTAATACTATTTATGAATATGTTGCCTGATTTCATACATGAAATCTCTGGTGGAGTGAATTATGTACACTTTATGGGGCTCAATTTCAAAATTCTTCTTTCTCCCATTTTTGCTCAGATTACATATTAGTACATTTTACTTGCATTGTCTTATGTTATGTTGCAGTCCTTGGCATTGGCTCATGCAGATATCGACGATGGGAAGGTCCTATTTGTTCCGTGGGTTGAAACAGATTTCAGAACTGGTGACAACCCGTGGTGGTCATAGAAGACTCAAATTTTCACTGGAAAGTGTATCACAACTCAGCATATTTGTATTGACATTGTATTCCNTATCGACAATTTCAGCAAAACAATCGTGTCATTAATATACGTTTTTTGATCTGATACTACATATATGTACATCAAATTCAAGTTTAATTTACCAAAGTGTAATGTTTCTTTTGAGCTTGAAATCCAAAATGCTAGTATCCTAAGCTGGTTATATTGTGCGAGTCCATAGACTGTCATAACTGGTTTTATTTGGAACACGACAACTTCCTTATTCAGCAGTGTATTCTTTCGGAAAATGCCTCCCAAGGATTACGATACGAACGACCAAGAAAAGCCGACTCAATGTATCTACTGAAAACACTAGTTAGTATCTAGCTGAAAATTGTGAAAGGTCAAGTATGCACATCAACAAATTGTCATTATTGGTGTCAATTTTGTTACAATTACACACCTTTAGAGCTCTATATATCCAGAGCACATTTGTCGTAGAATGACTTCCTAGCAACATCCTTCACGCATTAAGATACTTTTCGCCTCCTTTAACCTCCCACATTTACATAGCCCGATGATCTCCGAACTCAAGCCCGAAACATTAGAAGATATCGACTTGTACTCCATCTCGAACAAAACCTTTGTGAGCCCCTCCATGTCACCATCCTTAACATATCCAGAAATTAGACGAGAATATGTACTCTCGTTCGGACCAAATCCTTTCTCCAACAAGATGGTCAACATCTCATCTGCCTCCTTCGTCCTCCCATTTTCACAAAGCTTCCCAAACATCTTGTTAACAGCTGAGCAGCTCGGGAGAAGACCATACCCAATCATCCTCGCGCAGAAGGCCAAACTATCCTCCAAACGTCCATGACACGCACAACTTTTTATCAGCCAATCGAACGTCGTTTGATCGGGCTTGAAGCCCAGTCTTTCCATATCTTCTAGAAGCCCGATTGCTTCGTCAATCCTCCTTTCCTCACAAGACCTCCCAACGAACAAATCATACACAAAGGCATTTTCTTTAAAACCCCTCCTAAGAATTTGCTCGTAAGTCTCCTTGGCCGAATCCAAATCCTCCATTCTCACTTTAGCAAACACGACCAACGAGTACGCCATAGTATCCAAGATCATATTTTTATTCAACATTAGCCTCAACAATCCCATCCCTCGTTCAATCCTACCCTCTTCCACAATCTCGTACACCAAACAAGTATTCACGATCACGTGAGGAGCCGGACGCTTATTCCCGTGCATCCTATCGACAATACAAAGAAACTTCTCCAATTTACCTTCTTTACACAAAGCCCCAACCATGGTTTTCACAGTCATTTCATTCGGTGAAATCCTTCTTTCAATCATCAGCTCGTATAAGCCCCAAACCAGGCGAACCTTGTCCGATTTCAACAGCACGTGCAGGACCGTATTTAAACTGATTACACTCAACGGGAACCCACGATCGAACAACAGCTTGCAAGTGTCGAGAATATCGTCAACAATCCTCAGCTTAGCGCAAGTTTGCACGAAAAAGTCGAAAACGAAAGGAACAGAATCGACAGTATAGAAACTATCTAGCAACGAATCAAGCACACCAAGTGTTCGACAATTGTCCTCTGAGAATTTTTTCGTCAAAACGGATTCGATCATGGCCTTGGCATCTCTGACCAGTCCGGTTTTCACCAGTATGTGTATCAACAAGCAGTAGCTGGAAATCCCATGTTCGGCGCGCGATTCTTGGGCCGACCAGTGAAAGAAAGTGAGGGCCTTTTTGGAATTAACGGGCTCTTTGAGCTGGAGGAGTATTTTTCGAACCGTAGGGTTTGTGAACTTGACGGAGCCGAAATTTTCCGACAGGGTTTTCCAACAGTGGCCTTGTTGCAGTGAATCGACGACGGAGGTGATGATGGGGTCGTCGTTGGCGGTGGTGGTTTGCGCCGGCCGTGTTGAGGTGGCGATTGGGGAGAAGAATGAGAAGGGATTCTGGATTGGATTCGACCGGCGGAGGGTAATTGCCCGGAGTAGATTAGGCATTTTTGGTTTTTCATCGGCGTCTCCGCCGCCACGGCGGTCACTCACTCGGGTTTTGGTCGGGGAAACAACCCAAATTTCTTTGTTATCCGTGCGGGTCAAAATACGGGTCAGTTGCGATTGGTTTTAAGAACTTTTCGCTATTTTTTTCATCAAAATTAATATTTATATAATCTCTTTTTTTTTTCTAAATATTCCACTAACTTAACTAAAAAATAACTAATATTACTATTATATAATTTCCTATAAAATATAAAATTTATCCAATTACATATTTCTAGTTTATCAATGTCATCAATTAATTATTATTTATACAGCACATTAAGTTTAATACTACATTTACCTCAAAATAATTACATATCATATTAAGTTTAGTTATTATATTTTATCTAATATTCATTCACGCTCTTATATTTTTCTTCAAAAAATATTTTCCTTTTTTCAAATTTTCATCTAAATTTTCCGAAATAACATTTTTTTTAAAATGTACTTATATCTAATCGCCTTATGTCATTATTATTTTATTACCTGAGTCCGTTGTGTTCTTCAAAATATTTATTTATTTTATGTTTAGAAAAATCTAAACACATTTCTATGCCATTGTGTTGTCTCTAGGGCTAAAAACGAATCAAGTCGCTCGCGATCGCTCGAGTCAATACTCAACTCGAGTTCGATCAAACTCAAACTCAAGTGGAGCTCGAGCAGTTCAATTGAACAAACGAGTCGAACCTCAAGCATCAGAGGCTCGTAAGATCGAGGACTCGCTCGACTTTTTCATTTATATAAATATCCTACATAGTTTAATTGTCAATATTATATTACCAAAGCCAAAAATTAAATTGTACCTTTATATTTAAAATTTAGTTGTTAAAATTTCAAGTGGAACTCAAGCTATATGGAGTATCGAGTTGAGCTCGAGCATTCTTATTTTTTTTACGAGTCAAGTCGAACACTATTCTATCTGCACTCGATAAGATCTATGCACGACTCGACTGGTTTGCACCTAGTTGTCTCTCACAAGGTCAAAGACCTTATTTTTGTAGCCTATTCCACAAAGGGCTCATTCAATATTGTATTGCGAACGATTCTTAATTTGTAATTCGTTTGTGGGATTAAAAAAGATGTACCACGAGAAAGGTTGGCACTAAATTATGTTATTTTGCATTTTACCTATTTTCTATACTTGGATGACAAATGGTTCCATAGTTCAAGTGCATGGTTGAAGAAGAAATTTTTAACTAGGATATAAATATCTACAACTACATCTATATTTTAGAATAATAAATGCAGTAGGTGCAAATTAAGTGAAGTCATTTTTCGTTGTTTTTCCAACTTGTGACATATATATTTTCTGGATTATTCATGTGGAAAGCAAATTTAGAAGACTTCTTATCAATCTATATCTACTAGTACGTACCCTGTGCGATGTACGGGACAGAGATACTAAATGAGTTGTGAAGACAGAGATACTAAATGAGTTATTTTCACAGCTTTGTCCGTTTAAGTCTAAAAAATAATAAGGTTATATCTTTTAATCAACGTTAAGTCTAAAAAACAATAAGGTTATTATAAGTTTTTTTTTCCACATCTTTTAACCAACGTTATTTTTTTAACCAGAACATTAAATATGAACATGTTAGGGCTAGCTTGTAAAATAATTAATATATTATCTCACTAAAATATTTATACTAATAAAAATTTAATTTTACCATATAAATTTATCCCTTGATATAAGAGAAAGTAATAGTTTTACTTATTGTTGTTCACCATATAATATTTAATTATTATTTTATATGAATTATTTTTTTTACAAGATGGATTTAATATCTTTTTATGATTTGATAATATAAACAAATTTATACTTACCTTTGACTTTTCCAGCAAAGGTAAAAAATCGGTTCTGATTTTTATCTCATAACAAATCTTTAATGTTAAGCCTATAAATACCAAAACAAATCTGTAATTAATGTCATTCTATTTTCAACAAGCATTAATTACCTTTGAATTTTCTGCCTACTATTTCTAGTAAATAGGATGACTTTTTATATAAGTATATATATATAATAAGGATTAACTTCAATCAAATATAATAAGTTTTCCTGTCATTATGCATTAATTACATCCTAATTATAGTAGTTTTTTCAATTCCTTAAAACAAATCTTGAAGCATTAATCGAAATCAGTTTTAACTTCTCTTAGGGAGGTGTATTCAATTAAGATTTCTAAGGACTTTTTAAGATTTTTAAAAATTTAGGGGTATTTAATTGGTATTTTAAAAAGTCTTACAAAATCCTGAGGTATTTAATTTATTTGACATTAGGATTTGTTAAGACTTTTTAAGATTTGGTGGGATTTCTAAACAAAAAAACCTTATATGAAATCCTACTTCAAATTCCACCTCCAGACTTAAGATTCCACGGAATTTCTCCAAAATCTGGAAATCTTAACAAATATCAAAAATTTAAAAAGTCTCAGAATATCACTTGAAATCCCAAATGAATACACCTTCCTTAATAACCGGATTTCTTGTTTTAAAAAGATACTCCATAATATTTGATTAAACACTAAATCCGGATGTTTAGAATCAATCTATATAATATATAAAGAGCTATTCTATTTACTAAAATTAGTAGCACGAAAAGTCAAATGACAATTAATGCATTCTATTTTCATCAATTTTTTCAATTGTATTATTACTTTATTGCTAAAAAACCGATTTGCATTAATCCATCCTCAATTGATGTGTTTTGCAGTAAAATCGTACAGATAGACTTCAAGTAAAATATGTCTAATTTCAAATTTAAATTTAAATATTAAAATTTCTTATCATTTTGTTACATTAAAATCCTGAATGAATTGTTTGCCATAAAATCAGATAAAATAATAATTGCATAGAATTCAAGTAAAAACATGTCTCATTTAAAATTTAAATTTTAAAATTCCTTATCATTTTGTTACATTTTCGAATGATTTGTTCCCCATAACTTCGGACGGAATTAATAGTTGCATAGGATTCAATTATGATTTCGAATTTATATCAAGGATGTTTAATAATTGCATAGAATTTCAAAGATATTTATTTATTATAAGAAAATTAAATTCTAAAAAAAATATTTGTGTATATTTTGTAAAATATTTGTATAAAATGTTTTAATTTAAATTTATTTACATAATTTAAATTAATTACATTAATAAATAATATGAACATACATTAAATATTTTAATTAGATAAAACAAAAAGAAGAAGAAGACTACATGTATAACTTATATACATAATAATAATAAATGACATTATATTACAATAAATTTCATAATAAAATAATATGAGTATTATACGAGGAACAAGATTACGTAAAATTGATATTTTTCTTATATCAAGGAATAAATATATATCATGAAATCAAATTTATATTATTATAAACATGTGAGTGAGATAATATATTAATTAATTTACGGGCTAACGCTACCAGACTCACGTTTAATGTTCCGACAAAGAAAATGACGTTGATGAAAAGATGTAAAAAGATAGATGATCAAACTCTATTATTTCTTAGGCATGAACGGACAAGCTCTATAGTCCACTCAATCTCCCGTGAATTGCACGAGCTACTTAACGGATAAACTCTGTGAAAATGACTCATTTAATTCTTTTGTCCCGTGCATCGCACGGGCTACGTACTAGTATATCTTGAAACAAATTACTCATAACCGTTTTAAAATTTGGTTTACGGATTTGTGTTCAATTTTATCTTTATTTTTTGCTATTATTATTATTAATTAATGTCAAAAGATCATAAAGTTGATATTGTAGTTATACGTACTATAATCTATATATATATAATTGCTAGCCTTTCATTTAATTTTACCTCATAAATAAAACCTAATAAATAATACAAACTTTTCAAATACAAAAACTGTTACTTTTACAAAATACATCAATTATGGATAGTTACAAAATCTAAGCTAATGACCACTATTTTATCTAAGTATATCAATTTAGGTTAATTAGCTAAAAATATTTACTTTTTTAATTTCTTATATAATCATTACTATGCTAACTTAATTATGAATTATTTATTATAGAAACTCATGATTACATAAGCATGTATTCAGAATATAAATTTTTAAAAGAACTTTTTATAAATGTTTATTTGGAATATCTATTGTTTTTAATGATATCACTACAATAATTAATCATGATGAAAATGGAAAATGCTGCACATGTACAACATGAACAAATACACTAACAACATTACAAAACAAATTCACCAGCTCTGGAAATTGTATCATATAATAGTTATTATTACAATTAATAATTATTTTTACACTAAATGATATGTGAAAGTTACATAAAAATAAGAAACTATATTGTAAAAACTTTTTGTTCGAGTAATTTATTATAAAATCAATATAATATTTCTTTATTTGCTTAAGCGATTAGTTTTTAAATAAATTAATTTTTTTTATGGCATAGTAAAATTCCTTAAAATCGTATAAGCAATTGTTATAATAAATTTAATATTTTTTAGCTAATTAATTAGTCATAGTCCCTTAAAATTTCAAAAAATATATTATTTTATTTATTTTATGCAATAATATAGTGATTCATATACAATCAAATCGTTATGTACTATTTATTTTAACCAATGATCAAATTTTAATATATAATACCTTTATTTAACTTATAATTTTAATATTATATGCATAAATATAACTTATAATACCCTATGTTTAAAATATAATATAATTATCTAACTTATATTTTTACTATTATATGCATACAAATAACTTATAATACTTCATTTACATCTGTGCAAATGCACATGATCGAATACTAGTTAGACATAATTAATGTCAAAAGATCATAAAGTTGATATTGTATTTATGCGTAAATCACGACACCCGCCTATTACAAAATATGACGGGTCCACCGTACAGCTAGAGATGGCTACACGCCCGCTCAAACCGCCTGACCATGGGCCTTCAACTGACCCGTGGTTTTATCAGGGTAGGTTCAGTTTCACGTTTTTATACAAATTGAACTGTCGGTTCCATTTTCAAACTAAAATCGGCAGTTTGTCAAATTAAAAAATTTAACTTATTTGTTCGGCCCGAAACAGATGGGCCGATTCTGAACCATAAAGCGGCGGTTAATTGAACCGGCCCATATATATTATCAGGTCGGTTTAGGTTAATAAAACATGAATAAGAGTTGGATCCGTTTCTGACCGGTTACCGGTCTGAATCGTTTTTTTTTTTTTTTTTTTTTGCTAGACTAGAACGCGCCGGAGGTACGAAACCCGGATAATATCATGCTCAAGCCAACTCCCCAAGCTAGAAGGAGGAGCCGCCAATTCATGAAACCAACCGGGAAAGAAGAAGCTAAGCCCGCCAAATGGTCGACTGTAAAATTGACCTCTATATGCACATGGCAAAGTCAAATAGTCCACTCCTTCTGAAGCAGCTGACGAACGGCCTGGGCCTCTATCATACAACTCACACAATATTAATTTGTGATGAGAAAATTGCACATGCAATAAAATATGGACCTCAAAGTCCCATCATCTCTATCATACAACTCACGCAATAATAATTTGTGATGAGAAATATGGACCTCAAAGTCCCACCTCTATCATACAACTCACACAATAACTATTTGTTATGAGAAAATACACGTGCAATCAAATGTGGACCTCAAAGTCCCAAAGCTTGTAGACAGTATGACATATCCGTTAACTCGTCAGTCAATGAGGCGTGCCAGCAAACTTTGAACGTCTGTTGAAGAAAAAACTACTAACAAAACTAACTAAACATTCTTACTTATTTTCTAAGAAAAAAAACAAAAAAACTTAACATTCTTACTGATAAAACTAGTATTGCCTTCACTCTACTGTTCACTCTACGAAAAACACAATGTCCCCCAAGACAAAGCAAAAGAAATTAAAAGAAGAATAAAAAAAAAACAATTACCATATGACAACCGAGGGAAGCCAACATTTTTTACGATTACGCCCCTCGGCTCCCGCCGACCGTCACATTGCCCGACGGCACCCTTCTCCACTTTTCCCAGGCCGAGCCAACCACCACACGATCGGCGATGCCACCTCGATCGTGGGCTTTATTCGGGATTGGGCCAAACTCGGAGTAGTTCCAAATTCTCGTCCGGTTTTCGAGAGGGACCTCATCAAGGTCCCACAGGGATTGGATTCGATTTATTGGAACAACATGAAATGCGTTCCGTTCGGTTCGTCGTCGACTTTTCCCCTGCCTACGAACAGGGTTCGGGCGACTTTCGTTCTCGACCGAGCCCGATTCAAGAAACTCAAGGATTTAGTGGTTGCCGAATTTTCCGAGCTTTTCCCACCCATCGTCTTTTGTCGTGACTTCGGCTTACGTTTGGACGTGTCTTGCGAAATTACTTTCGACCCGCGAGGAAAACGAAAACAGAGTAAATGATGATGAGATGGAATTTTTTTTGTTTGCAGCCGATATTCGGGCCCGTCTCAGCCCGCCATTGCCCGAGAGCTACTTCGGCAACTGCTTATCGGGCGGGCTTCCGAAATCCGGCACCATGAGCTTATCGGGCCGGATGGGTTTTTCTTGGCGGCCCGGGCCATAGCCGATGAGATAAAATACAAATTAAATGGTATGGATAAAATTACGGAATGGTTTGAGAATGCGCCGAAGATTATAAGGTCGGTTTTGGGCAAGTGTTTGTTTTCCGTGTCTGGATCGGTCAGGGTTGATTTGTACGGTGCGGATTTCGGGCTTGGGAGGGCCCGAAAGATGGAGATTTTATCCATCGATGGGGAAAAATATACAATGTCGTTGTGTAAGCCGAGGGATTGTGAGGGAGGTTTGGAGGTTGGTATGTCTTTGACCAAGGAAGTAAGGGATGTGTTTGTTGGTCTTTTTAATGATGGGTTAAATACTTAGATTGAAGCCGGTACTCTACCAATTGAAATTTTTAACCATTAATGGTCGGTAGAAAAACTTATTGTTCTTTGGATCTTGATTCTTGAGTTGTTTGTACTCCTTGTTGTGTTTTTTGATGCATTTGTGTCCTTTTGCCTCAAAAGGGTGAAAACTCTTGTGGATTATTGTGAGTGTTTATCAGTTATTATAGTTATGTGTATGGGTAATTTTTCTTTCATTATGGTGTGACCTCTCAAATAAACTTCTGAGGTGAAATAAATACTATAGGTTGCGAGTCTTGTGACAATGATACTGCATATTCTAATGAGACTATCTTTTTAATATTTCCTCAAAATGCTTGTACAATACACACACAACATTTGTTTGATTCAAATACATTTTAGTTCAACCCAACATAAACAAGAAATCCTTAGAACCCCTTTCAACCCATCACTAAAGAGGCCAGCAAAAGCTTCTATTGTAAGCCGTTGTCACTGAAAAAAGACGACGCATAAAAAAGAACCAGGAAATTTTGCGAAAACTGAATCCTATAATCTCCATCAAGTTTGCACATTGAAGCCCAAGACCTTATGAAACTCACAATTGTGCATGCATTGCCAATCACGCGTTCGTTGGCTAAACCGATGCATATTTCCCAGCCCGGGAACAGAGTTATTTGAAGAACAAAAACCTAAACGAGTAGTTTGCGCTCATGCGTAACTATCCGCGCCAATTGAAGGATATAATCGTAAAATGCATAGGCATCCCGGGTTTGATTCCAGACAAGTAAATCAAAATCATTAAACAGACTTGAAAATATCAAAAGGGACCGAGTCGAGAGGAAAGTAGTGATCGAGAGCTAGGGATGACGAGTGTTTAAGTGTACTGAATAATATTTTGTTGTGCTTTCCAGTTATGATTCATGAATTTCTCTCTTATTGCCAACGAAAATCACTATTTATGTTGTTTCGATTACCGGTTCCTGCAAAATTCTTTAAATGAAAATGGAAAATGGATTCTTTGAGTATCGATCTTCTTAATTTGTAAATATTAACAGATCTTCTTTCGCTTTATTCAACTTGTTTAGAATAGTTCTATATATCGAATGATATAAACCTCATACTTATTCACATGACTCGAGCTGTTGTTAACCACTGAACGATCCTTCAATATGAGCCACCCGATCGACGAGCTATTTATCCAGATAAGCTATTATATAATATTACAAATAATTATTATTATTCCTTTTTATGGATCGTTTTTATAAAGGGAGAACATTTATATGAGTTGTTATTTGGAGTATGAATTAATATTTGACCAGCCTTGAAGAGTTGTTGGGCCACGTTTTGATTTGCATTTGGTGAGTGGGGAAATTTTTCAAATGATAAACACCAATAATTGAGTGGGTCCACTGGCACCAAATGCTGTAGTCAAATAGCAATGTAATGTTTTCTTTGGTTTTAATAGGAGTTTATTTTATTAGTCTTTTTAAATATTAGATTATAGGATATTTAGCCATCAGATAAACTAACTATAGACAAATCCTAAATTATATATTATTTTTATGTAGTAAACTCAAATTGATTACACTACATAAAAATAGTATAATGAGAAATGCTACAATCCCGTTACGTAACCATTCTGTCGGAATTTATAACCGTTACATCATCATGTAACCGTCGTGAATAGTTGATTTAACGATTACCAATCCCGACAGAATAGTTCCGTAACGATACTGTAGAATTTCCCATAATATAATATTTCAAAATAGTCTTTTTAAACATTAGCAATTAATAATTATTTTACTTTTTTTTTTTTCTGTCCAGCACAATTTGATTCTTCCACCATTTGCATTTAGTTGACAGACATTATTATTAGAATAGTGTATAAAATATTCATATATATAATGTTTTTGTCAACTTGAGTCGAGAATTTCACCAAACACTGGTACACCACCCAACTTTGAAATTTCCAAGAACTCGGCATCTAAATCATCATATTTATAATTTAGATTTTCCCGTCAAACTTTATTATATATATAAAAAAAATACCCAATCGTATACAAAACAGAGAAACGCAAATTGGGCGAAAGAAAAAACAGAGCCCAAATAACCATTTCCCCATGGCAGAGTCCCCGGCGCCCGCCACCGTCCTCGACCTCTTCAAAGTCCACCCGTCGCCGGAAACTGCGCCGGCACCGGATATGACCCTTCCCCTCGTCCACTTCGACATAACTTGGCTTCACTTCCACCGCGTCCAGCGCCTCCTCTTCTTCGACTCCCCCTGCTCCAAGACCCGATTCCTCCAATCCCTCGTCCCCGAACTCCGCCGTTCCCTCGCCCACGCCCTCGCCCGCTTCCTCCCCCTCGCCGGAAAAATCGTCCACCCCCTCGACGACGCCGGCCGTCCCTCCATCCGCTTCTCCCCCGGCGACTCCGTCCCCCTCACCGTCGCCGAGTGCTACTCCGACTTCGATCACCTCACCGGCGACCACCCCCGCCTCTCCGACGAGTTCTATCCCTTCGTCCCGGAGCTCCCGCCGGCGACCCGATCGGAAAACGAGGTCGTCATCCCGGCCCTCTCCCTGCAGGTCACCCTTTTCCCTGGCCACGGCCTCTGCCTCGGCTTCACCAACCACCACGCCGCCGGCGACGCCAGCTCCATCGTCCGGTTCATAAAATCCTGGGCTGCCGCCAACAAGCTCGGCACCGGTGGAGCCAGCGCCGCCGAGCTGACTCCGTACTACGACAGATCCACCGTTGCCGACCCGGATGGCCTCGACCGGATCTACTGGGATCTGATCGGCAAGTCCCGCGCCGTCGAGTCCCCGCCGCTCACTTTCCCCCTCCACAAGCTCCGGCGAACCTTCATCCTCACCGGCGACCACGTCCGGCTGCTGAAGGCCGCCGTTCTATCTCAGCTCCCCGCTGCCCGTCACGTCACTACATTCACCGTCGCCTGCGCCCTCGCCTGGTCCTGCCTCCTCCGGGCCGACCCGCCGGCGGCCGACGACGAACCGGAGTACATGGGCTTTGCGGCAGACTGCAGATCCCGGCTGAACCCACCCCTTCCGGCGGCCTACTTCGGCAACTGCCTCGCGTTCGTGCTGGCCGAGTCGAGGCACGGGCTTCTCCGGGCCGGAGGAGTGGAGGGCTTGGCCCACGCGGCCGAGGCTATCGGGTCCGCCGTGCAACGGACGGTGTACAACGAGAAGGGGATTTTGGACGGGGCGGAGGGTTGGCCGGCGGGGTACGGAAAGTTGATCGGAAAACGGCTGTTCGGGGTGGCCGGGTCGCCCAGGTTCGATTTGTACGATGTGGACTTCGGGTGGGGGCCACCGAAGAAGTTCGAGTCTCCGTCTATAGATGCCGACACGTCCATGTCGTTGTGCAAGTCCAGAGATTTCGAAGGCGGGCTCGAAATCGGCCTGTCTAGGCCCAAAAATGTCTTGGAAGCGTTTGCAGCAAACTTTGAAGAGCAGCTCAGAAATTTGTAGAGCGGTTCGAGCTTGATGTTTGTGTTTGTATTTGAAAGATTGCGAAATATGTTTATCAAATAATTATTATTTTTTGTTTAAATAAAGATCTACTAATTAAGATTTTTAATTAACATATATGAAATTAATATATTTGTAAGATGCAACTTATTGTAGGTAAAAATGTGTGTGCCATAATTTTTTATTGGAAAACTGAAAATAACATGGGGGCTTCCTTAACACCTGAATCTCTTTGTTTGAGCATGATTTAAATTCAATTTATCAATTTTAGAAAAAGTTTTTTGTGGATTAAATGAGAGTCTACATATCCTTCTATTCAATGTATTTAGGTAGGTGGAATGGGAAGTAGGTGTCTCGTGATCACATAAATCATTGGTCCTCTAACATCCACTAAGACATGCAATGTTTGACCGTGTGATTAAACTTTTAATTTCATATACTTTTTCCTATTCTTATTATTTGTCGTTTGAGAAGCAACACGTTAATTAACAAAAATTTTCTTGCCAATACTAACTTTATTTAATGGATGCTATGGGAAATAATTAAAATGGAATATGAAGAGACACTGTATATTAGATGAAGGGTTAAAAATAGAGAAAAATATGAGCAAAATAACCAAAACGATATTTATTTATCAATGATCAATTAAGCCAGAATCACAAATAATAAAAATAGGAGGAAGTATTTGTTTAATGGAATAGAGTACTAATGAACTATGTCCATAGGAATAATGCTGAGGCAGATAAGTTATTAGATGGAATTTTATAATGAGTGATCATAATTAATAAACATTCTTTGTATAATTGGTGATATTCAATTTGATCACGGATATTATAAGAGTGATACATGGCAAAGCAAACGGGGGCTAAAAAGGGCTTAAAATCCCAAAAAATGGATTTCTAAAGTGCAGATTTTTCTAAGTCTGGAACAGGTACGAACAAAAAGTATTCTGGACCGAACATGACCAGAAAGTACGAACAGAAAGTATTCCAGACTGAACAGGGCTAAAAAGTACGAACAGAAAGTATTCCGAACCGAATAGGGGTTCTCAAATGATGAATAGTAACGTGTACTACATATAATGAATAGTACTAAAAGTACAATTGTACTACCTTATAAGCTATACTATAAATAAAGCCTCAATGATGGTGAAAAGGGGAAGAACATTCATTCTGAAAAAAAAGAGAAAACATTTTAATTCTCTGAGAGGCATTGCTCAATGATGTATTCTTATTTTTATAGTTTAATTCATATATTTTTCTCATATATTTTTCAAAAGTCACCGATATAATCACCATTCTTACCAAATTTCATATTAAACTCTATTCGTGCAGATCGAACCGAGTATACACTCTAGTATTCAATTCGAACACATTGTTGGTCATTTTTTAGCACCAACAATAATATATCGGAAAAATTGTATAACAAAGCATTTCCTTCTAGTTTTTCAATTTAAACGCCATTTTAACATTATAACAATTAAAGACATCAATTTATTTGCTTTTGCAAATAAAACCACCACAATAATTTCCAATTTTCCACCAAATGATATTTATTGGTCTTCTCGTATGACAATAATTTCCTGTGACGGCGTCAAAAATTTATTCTCCAAATATTTTCACTAATGCCAAGTACTGCATAGTTATAAGTAGCACTGAACAAGATCGTATTAACATAAAATATTTATTAAATTAATTAATTAAAATAATAACCTTTAAATATTATCTAGACTAGTGTTTTAAATACTGTATCGATGATCATATTGGTCTAGCCACCGGTCGGACCGATAATATCGGTGGTATTACCGGACTAGTAAATATAATAATGTATATAAATATACATAAAAATGTATAATACCAAATACAAAAAAGTAAAAAAATAAATAAATAATTATAATTATTAATTTTAACTTTTCAATGAGATAAAAATAAAACGTTCTAACTACCAATTTAAATTTTATTTTTATTTGTTTACCAATTTTTTTTACCCGTATTTTTTGGTATTTATGATATGATCCCGGTATAAACCAATTTAACCGTAAATTCGAAATTTTGTGTGTAATTGTACTGTACCAATGACTGTTATCTGTTATTATGGACCGATACAATACAATAATTTAATCACTGATCTAGACCAACATGGTTTTATTGAATAATTTAACTATGAAGTAAGCAAAAAAAAATAAAATATATATAACTTAAAACTATGTAATAAATGAGAAAATAGTTATCTAAAGGTGTAAACGAATCGAGCTGAGCTGCAACTCTTAACGAACTTATAATTGAGCTCGAGCTCGACACGTTTATCAATATTACCGAGCCAAAATTGAGTTGAATTATAGAAAAATTCGTAAAAATTATTTATTCGAACCATATCGAGTCGAGCTCGTCAACTAAATGAGATCTAAATGAGCTTCAGCTCGACTCGTTTATCATCTTTTCGAGCCTTAACGAGTTTAACTTACAAGTGACTCGTTTAATTTAACAACTCTAACTCACATAGACTTCTAACTAACACATATATGCTCGTACAATATGTGTTTGATCTGACGACTCGGATGCCATGGACGAGAATGAAAATTCACATGAAAGTTGCACCAAACAGACCTTTGTTATCCAAGAACCACGGACGCCAAATATAAAACCACCATAGGAAGAATCACCTACATACGTGTTCTCTAGTCATTGGTTGCATGAAATGGCCCATGCAACTTATGTATATCCTCGCCGTGTGTCCTTTTTTTTCCATGCTTTCAAATTTCCCATTTTATCCTCAATGCCTTCCATATAGACACCTCCTTCTCCTCAAGGACCTCAACAGTAAACGTAACATATATACCGAAAAAAANAAACCACAAAAATGAGCGGCGTAAACAGACTGTGGACGGCAACAACTACGGCTGTGGCCGGCGGCCACGGTAGGAAGCCATTCAGCTCCGGCAGCACCGTCGGCCGCCGCACGGACGGGGCGGATCTCCGGGAGCCGTCAGGGTTTCCCGGCGGCGACGAGCAGAGGAAGCAGGCCGAGGAGTCTTTCCGTCGGGTCATGTACTTGAACTGCTGGGTTCAGGGTTAGGTAGCGGTAAATATCCTCCGCCACGAGGGTAAATGTAATTTAAGACTTTGTGGTCGGAATTCAGCATGAGCTGGAGGGATTTTTTTCTTTTGCCTTTTTTTTTTGGGAGAAATTAATTAGAAAGGACTGAATTGTTATTATGTAGGGAGGTGGTGGTGGATTGGAATGTAACAAAAATATTGGAGGTCAAATGGAGGACCTCGTTGCAAATTGCTTATAATACTGGCATGCACATGGCAAAACAAATCTTGCTTTTGAGCATTTGTTTTATTTATAATGTTTTTAAGGGTACCCTCATCTGTACTTTTTTTATTTTGTAGCAGTAGCTGTCGTGTAACTTTGGAACTTTATCAATCAAAATCACTTTGGAACTTTATCAATCAAAATCACGTTACAACTAACGGTTTTGTTATAGAGTCGTTCAATTTATGGAGTCATTCATAATTATTTATAAATGATGTATTTACACGTGCTATAATAAATACAAATTGAACAACATGTATCATTATTAATACATTTATTAATATATAAAGTTATAAATGACTTAATAAGGAGTCATTCATAACTCTATATAATTTATGGTATAACAAATGTATTCAGTCACTCCCTCCAATCTCTCTTTGATGTGATCGTCGCGCACGATGAAGTAAGAACCTCTCCAAAGCTTTGATTTAGTTGAGAAAATGGACCCAAGTGAGTGGTTCAAAAATGAAGGTAAGTGAGTTATTTTTTTTAAAAAAAAAATGACTAAGTGAATATTTAGGTCAATTTAGACCAAATGTGTCATAAAAAATTATATTATAATAATAAAACATGTCATATGTTCTGGTATATACACCTGCTTTATAACTTTACAATAAATATTGCTGGTATGATTTATTATTTATTTAACTTCTATGTATCATTAAGTCTATTATTAATTTACGAGTTTTATTATTGGAATAATTATTTTAAGATATAGATAGAGACTCATTTTTTTTAAAAAAAAAAAAATCCATTATTTTAGCTCTTTTTTGTTGGTTTTGTTATATCTCAAATTTTAGGTCTATTTACATGTTACATAATTAAAGCATTGTGAGGCTATTACTTGCCTCGATTTCCTTGATGGTACTTATATTCTAAAGATTCAGCCTTACTTATAATTCCAGAAGTGTAGTTATCGAATTTTTTACTGTTAAATTAGCACTCAAATTATCTACACGAGCATGAGTTAATTCAATAATAGAATAAGAGCATCCGATTATCTACACGAGCATGAGTTAATTCAATAATAGAATAAGAGCATCCGATGCTCTAATATTATTATAAAATAAATTTTGACAAATATCAATAAACTAAATGAATTGTAAACCATATTTGAAAAATGTTAAGTTAATTACAGATATGAAATTGAAAACGTTAAGGGGGTGATTGTATATGAATTGAATAGTAAAAAAACCAATCAAAATTCAAATTTAACTCAACTTTAACTCAACTCCACTATCATAAATATTATCAACATAATTAAATAATATCAACTAATCATTTTTACATATCACATCAACTTTAATTCACTATTCATTCACTCACATAACTCTAACTAACTATCACTTCCAATCATTTTTCTCCTACTTTACATCAAATCAACTTTAATTATTTTATTTAAATATTATTTTAATATATCTACTAACAACTAACCATACCACTTTTTTTCAAAATTAACTATAATTAAAAAATAAACCAAATAAAAACTAGTTCAACCCATAAACGATCACCCTCTAACTCGTCAGTCAATGGTGCGTGCTAGCAAACTTTGAACGTCTGTTGAAGAAAAAACTACTGACAAAACACAGCCATACTAAACATTATTATTTTTTTATTTTTTATTTTTTTATTTTTTTTAAGGTAACAACACCCGGTAGGGTGGGGGTTACTAAACATTCTTACTTATAAAACTAGTATTGCCTTCACTCTACTCTTCACTCTACAAAAACACACAAAGTCCCCAAGACAAAGCAAAAGAAATTAAAAGAANAACTCCCGTTTTCCGAATCCCACGATTCGGAGATTAACCTCGTAGCGAGACTCAAACACTCTCTATCCTTAACCCTCGAACACTACTTCCTTCTCGCCGGCAACTTAGTTTACCCTCTCGACACAGAAAAAAACATGCCTGTTTTCCGTTACGCGTCCACCGACTCGGTCCCCGTGTCCGTTTTCTCCTCCTCGTCGGCCCACGATTTCGACACTCTCGTCGCGAATCAACCGAGGGAAGCCGACGTTTTTTATGATTACGCCCCTCGGCTCCCTCCGGCCGTCACCTCGCCTGACGGAACGCTTCTCCAGGGGTTACTTGCGCTGCAAGTAACCATTTTTCCAGGCCGAGGCATATGCATCGGCGTAGCCAACCACCACGCGATCGGCGATGCCACCTCGATCGTGGGCTTTATTCGGGATTGGGCCTCGACATGCAAACTCGGAGTAGTTCAAAATTCTCGTCCGATTTTCGAGAGGGACCTCATCAAGGGCCCACCGGGATTGGATTCGATTTATTGGAACAACATGAAACGTGTCCCCTTCGGCAAATCGTCACCTTTTCCCCTGCCTACAAACAGGGTTCGGGCGACTTTCGTTCTCGACCGAGCCCGAATCAAGAAACTCAAGGATTTGGTGGTTGCCAAATTTCCGAGCTTTCCCCACCTTTCGTCTTTTGTCGTGACTTCGGCTTACGTTTGGACGTGTTTTGCGAAATCACTTTCGGCCGGCGAGGAAAACGAAAACAGAGTGAATGATGATGATGATGATAATGAGATGGAATTTTTTTTGTTTTCAGCAGATATACGGGCCCGTCTAAGCCCGCCATTGCCCGAGAGCTACTTCGGCAACTGCTTATCAGGCGGGGTGCCGAAAATCCGGCACCATGAGCTAATCGGGCCTGACGGGTTCTTCTTGGCGGCTAGGGCCATAGCCGATGAGATAAAAAACAAATTGAATGGTATGGATAAAATCACGGAGTGGTTTGAGAATGGGCCGAAGACTATAAGGTCGGTTTTGGGCAAGCGTTTGTTTTCCGTGTCTGGATCGGCTAGGGTTGATTTGTACGGTGCGGATTTCGGGCTTGGGAGGGCCCGAAAGGTGGAGACTTTGTCGATTGATGGGGAGAAATATTCGATGTCGTTGTGTAAGCCGAGGGATTGTGAGGGAGGTTTGGAGGTTGGTATGTCTTTGCCTAAGGAAGTAATGGATGTGTTTGTTGGTCTTTTTAATGATGGGTTTTAATGATGGATCTCACACTAGTGTTGGTCGATTCAACGGTGAAAAAAAAGAACCTTGTTCTCGGTGTTGAATCTATTTGGGATTAAATATGTGTAATTAATACATTGGGTCATTATATTGTTTAGCCAAATTATGTGATCAAATTTTGTATATTGGCTAAGGAACTTAATTTGAATTGTGGAATAATTAAATGTGGACACCCGGTAATATTATTATTTGGTGACGTAATAAATAATAATATTAAACTTAAGGACCTAAATAACATATAATTTGGGTCAAAATTATTTATGGATGGAGTCCCCAAAAGCCGTGAAAAATAAAGTGATGCGGATAACCCATAAGAAAAAGGATTAGTTGGTAGTTGCCGACACTACCAACATTAATTGTTTCAATTGACACAATTATCAATTATAAAAGGAGGGTTGGGTTATCAATTTCTATAAGATAGAAATCAGTTTTCTTTGAATACGTCCGAAAGAAATAATAAGGAAAAATTCACGGCCTTTTGGAAGATTTCTAAATCCCAAAACTAAATTTTAAGTTATAAAGGGATCAAGTTCTAAAGAGATCAATCAACATGAATCCATCAGGTATGCTTCCGCTATTCAATTATGATTCTCAATTATTCAATATGAATGCTCCTGGGATTAATCGATTTATATCGAATAAAGTTATATCCAATTCTAACACTTGGATCTTGATTCTTGAGTTGTTTGTACTCTTCAGTTGTGTTTTTTTATGTATTTGTGTTGTGTATCCTCAAAAGGGTGAAAACTCTTGTGGATTATTATATTGTGAGTCTTTTGTATCAGTCATTTTAGTAATGATATAGGTAGTTTATCTTTCATTATGGTGTGACCTCTCAAATCAATTTCGGGGGTGAAATAAATACTGAAGGTTGTGACTAGTGACCATGATAATGCATATTCTACAGAGACTATCTGTTTATTTCCTCAAAATGCTTACAATACACAACATTTGTTTGATTCAAATACATTTTAGTTCAACCCAACATAAACAAGAAATCTTTAGAACCCTTTCAACCCATCACTAAAGGGGCCAGTAAAAGCTTCCATTGTAAGACGTCACTAAAAAAAGACGTTGCATAAAAAAGAACCGGGGAATTTTGCAAAAACCGAATCCTATAATCTCCATCGAGTTTATGCATTGAAGCCCAAGACCTTACGAAACTCACAATTGTGCATGCGGCATTGCCAATCACGTGCGTTGGCTAAACCGATGCATATTCCCTTGCCCGGGAACAGAGTTACTTGCAAAAACCTAAACAAGTTGCTTGCGCTCATGCGTAACTATCCGCGGCGATTGAAGGATATAATTGTAAAATGCATTGGCATCCCGGGCTTGATTCCAAACAAGTAAATCAAAATCGTTAAACCGACTCGAAAATCGCAAAAGGGACTGAGTCGAGTGGAAGGTAGTGTTCAAGAGCTAGGGATAACGAGAGTTTAAGTATATTGAATAATTATTTGTTGTGCTTTCCTGTTATGATTCATGGCTTTCTCTCTTATTCCCAACGAGATTTACACCAAATGAATCAAGTTTTTGCTTAAAGCATCTCGATCTTCAACAATCAAGAAAACTCCAAAAAGTGTTTCCAACGTAGAAACACTTACGAGACAAGTAAATAATAATTTTTACATTTAGGAGACAAGTAAATAATAATTTTTCACTTCTTACCTCAATTAAAAAGTCAAAACTGGTACTTTAAATTATCCTTAAAAAAAAAAAAACTTGAATTGCAAGTAAAACATTTGCAATGTTCAAGAACATAGAAGCTCCCCACCCTTTGGGCTATGTTAAAGCCATTGTACTTTAAATTATCGATTTAAAAAAGAAATACTTAAATTGCAAGTAAAATATTTGCAATGTTCAAGAACATAAAAGCTCCCCACCCTTCGGGCTATGTTAAAGCCATTATACTTTGAATTATCAATTTAAAAAAAAAAATACTTAAATTGCAAGTATAATATTTGCAATGTTGAAAAACAGAAAACCTACCCACCCTTCAGGGTATGTTAAAAGCCACGTTATAATGTAGTATTTGCTATGCGATAATAATTGTTCACGTGAAGACCATTCGGCGCCTCGGCGGCACCATTATGGAATCCATATTTTAGGCAAATTGCTTCAAGGTCCTCACACACTCTGTTGCTCCAATTGCTTGCCACATGTCCTTCCATGCATTTTTGCAATTTCCGATTCTACCCCTTTCTTCCTCCATATATTCTCTTTCCATCGAACTCATCAGCACAGTGATCAAAAAGACATAACAAACAAACAAAAAAACGCAATAATCAAGAAAATGAATTACATGAACAGAATATACATGGCGGCCGGCGTGGCGGTGATGAAGAGTCACTCCGACCACGCCAAAATGGGGACCTTTACCGGCGGCAACGGCTCGGACCCGGCGAAGTTCCGGCCGTCCTCCGGCTTGATCGACTCGGGGGTCGGAGGGCTTTTCGGCGGCGGCGAAGAGCGGAGGAATCAGACGGAGGAATCTCTCCGGCAGGCCATGTACTTCAACTGCTGGGGTCAGGTCTGAGCTGCTAAATCAGTAAAAATTGGCGAACACCAGGAACCCTAAGGGTACAATTGCAATTTCAGCTATGATGGGGATCAAGATCAAGCGGAGCTGGATTCTTTTGGCTTGAAATTGGTAGAATTCGGAAATGAATCGATGTACTGAAGTGGAAATATCTGTATGATGGAAGGCTGTGGAGAAAACTTATGTAAATTGTGTACTGACTTGATAGCTCTTGTAAATTGAGGGGTCCAATGGAAATGAAATTCGAAATTGTACTTGCAAATGATATGCTTTTTCTTTTTGCCATCCCCATCTGCAATTCCTTTTTCCTCACCAATGGTAAAAATCTCGAGAAGTTTCCCACTTTTTTGGTTTTTTGTTTTGTTTTTTAGTGAGTTTTTGTTGTTGGCTTATGTTGTGGATTTCATTGTTACTCGGGTGCTTTTGTGGTCTGTTTTTGTCTGATTTTGGAGACATCTGTTGAAAATTGAAATTGACTAATGGGCTGTAATAATTCAGCGTGATTTTATCAATTACTGGGAGTATATTGTGACCTGAATGATAAAAAACCAATCTTTGCCTGAGCGACGTACTTTAGTGATATAAAAATCATTAAGGTATTCTCAAGTGTTTTTGTGCCTTAAATGATAAATATCCATTCTTCTCCTGAGTGATATAATGACAAAAATCATTAAGGTATTCCCAAGTGCTTTTGTGCCTTAAATGATAAATATCCATTCTTCTCCCGAGTGATATAATGACAAGCTTGCTAATTTTGTTTTATGTTAGAATATCACTTGTAAGTTGTCCCACATCGTTCATACATGAAAAATAGACTCAGTTTATCAGACTAATAGGCTACTCCTCCTTCCACCAAAACCAATTGGTTTTGGGATGAAACTCCACTTGGGTTTTATATGGGCCTGTTCATGGTGCGCTTCATGGTAGTGGAATTTTCTCGAGTGTTTTTTGTGCCTTTAATGATAAAATCCAGTCCTTCCTTGAAATACATATATGGTAGTGGAGTTTTCCCGAGTGTTTTTGTGCCTTTAATGATAAAATCCAGTCTTTCCTTGAAATACATAATGGCAAGCTTGCTATAATAAAAGCATGATTCAGTGAATGAATGAAGGTGTGTGTGTTTTTTTTTTAACTTGAACTAGTGAATTTACTTCCTTCTGTATGCCATTTTATATTCTGCAAAATGTCTAGGTTTTGACATTTTGAATAACAAATAACATGATACATAGCCACAGAAATTAGCTGGGGATCATGGTTGTAGCTAATATCTGTTATAATTGTTCAGAATTAGGCTGTGGATGAATGATGAACTGCCTATAAAATGTGTACGGATATATGGACTTTCTAAACATTTTAGGTAAATTTAGTGTCAAAGTTTTCTGTTTTCTGTTAATATTAACCGATGAAGTGTAACTAAACGTAAACGTACCTATTTCCTTTTTGGATTGTACTTTCCTCTGATCTTGCAGACTCATTCCCTTCTTTGTGGGGCTTAGGTGGTTTCACTTTGTTCAGGAAAGCTTCACGAAAATGGACTATTAAGTACCTTCACCATAGATTCTACAGTTTGTGTATGGCCTTGAATGCAGATTTTGAAATAGGTGAATTTATACACATCAAATGTTATTCCATCTAGAAATTACTTTGGTTCTTACATTGCTTTGCTGACAGATAAGTCAACTTCTTGCAGTAGAATTCATGTATTGAAGTCGATGTACACATTTTTAGTAGAAAAAAATAAAATAAAATGGAATTTAACTGAAAAAAAGCAGGCGGATGCTAATATACACCATCTCGAGCCCGAAATACACAATAAACAAAGAAAAAATTTTAGAAACAATTTTCTACAGGCAGATCCCAGTGGCCTTGCAGAGTGGGCAGCTGTTATTAACCATCAGCCAGCTCGTTATGCATCGAGCATGAAAATCATGCCCACAATCGAGAACTGCAATCTTCTCGTCTTCTCCGAACAAACAATCTTGGCAAACAACACATATCTGAGAATCAGCTTCAGGTTCCATCCCATCTTTCAGTTTCAGATTTTTACTTATGGTCTCTTCACATAGGCCTTCTTCATCATCAACATCAGCTGAGTCATACACCACAACATGATCCACAAGCCAATCGGCAGCTATTTCCTCTTCGTTCAGTACAGTCTCATGCTCCTCTTCTAACTGATAGTGCTCATTTTCGGGCCTGCCCGAAAAGCTTGCTTGGTGACTGATCATATAATGATTATTCTCTGGCTGTTGTTGAGCATTGAGGGCCCAGGAATAATTTTGTGGCCCGAATTCTTCTTCTTGAGAATTAAGGGCCCAAGAACATTCGGCCCGGCCCGAGAAGCTTGCTGGGTTGTTATAACCGAGCCCAAAATCAGAAGGCTGTGTTTGGCACTGAGGATACAGAGGAATCCAAATACGAGGATACACGAAATATCCTGTCTGAAAATACCCGAATATCGGAACCGTAGGAGCTTGATGATGATAAAGATAGCTGTTGTAATTAAAGAAATTTTCAGCTGGAGAAAGTTCGTAAATTGCAGAGGAGGCCATAATCAATTCTTTTTTCTTTCTTTCTCGGCAGATGAGATTCTTTTTTTCTTGGTAAATTTTCTTTGGCTTTCTTGCTTGCTTTGTATGGCTTTTCTTGTGAATGAATGTTGTGAGAGTACATGCATTTTTTCTGTAGATATATATAAATGCGTTGTTATTACAAGTAATTTCTAAACTAACGAGCGCGTACAGTGATTTTTTGCGTGCGGGTTTTTCTCTCTTATCTATCTCATTTGATATCACTTTTCGCTTGTTTTCCTAAACATGGAAAGGTTTTTACAGGGGATATCACAAGGAAAGTTGATATACTTTGTAAGTTTGGTTGGTGATGATTGTATGAATGATTGAATTTGGACCACATGATAACTTTCATTTGATTATGGTGTCCTTAACTCTTATCAATCAAGATTTAATCATCCTGACATGATAAATTTAATTTGCCCACAACAAATCTCACCCCTATGTTTAAATTTTATTTTTATTTTTATTTTTTGCTCAAATTAAAAAATAATCTTAAAAGTATTGAATTTTAAAGTTCTATAATATTACTGAAAATCTCAAATAAGTACACCATTCTCAATCTTATTAAGTGTCATTAATTTAGCATTTAGTTAGTAACTTTTGATCTTTTCCAACTTTCTCACTAGTAGTCATATTGTTTTAACTTTAAGAGATATATATACTTTTAAATTGAAATGTCATATTTAAAAAATAAAATAAATAAAAGTATGACAAACAATATGAATAAAAGTACGATATTTATTGTATAGATATGTAATAAAACATATGCATTTTTATTACATGTAAGTTATGTTACACAATAATTTATGTAATATATTATTGTCATTATTTATTTATGACGGGGTTTTATTGATCTAAAGAAAATTTCCATTTCAATGCCCATTGTGGACATTAAAGTTGTTTTATCACAAAGGAAATTACTTTATAAATCAAATCGGAGCGTCTGGAACAGCCGTTAACAATCAATCCAGCGGCCACATGGAGCGACCTAACAATAACGCTTATTCAATTGAAAGACTGCTCATGGAAGACAACAGATGGACTGCAAATCAGAGGGAGGTTGAGCAAGTTATCACAGACTACTTTGAGCAACTATACACTACACAAGGGTCCCAAAATGGTCATCTCTTTCTGCCTCTTATAGAACCAAAAATCACTGAAGAAATGAACAGCCTCCTCACAGCCCCGGTTGAAGAAAGTGAGATTAAAACAGCTCTCTTTAGCATTCACCCAGATAAATCCCCCGGTGAGGATGGAATGACTGGCCTCTTCTACCAACACTTCTGGCCTATCATTAAGCATGACTTGTGCTCTGCAGTGATCAGCTTCTTTGAATCAGGACAGCTCCTCAGTTACTGGAAACATACCTTGATTACACTTGTCCCAAAATGTCTCAATCCTGTTTCTGTGCACCAATTCAGACCAATTAGTCTTTGTGCTGTCTTCTACAAAATTATCTCTAAAATTCTAGCCTTGAGGCTGAGGCAGTGTCTTCATGTATGTATTTCAGAAAATCAATCTGCCTTTCTTCCGGGCAGGAATATTATAGATAATGTAATCATTGGTCATGAAGCTTTTCATTTTCTCAATAGGCACAGAAGTGGCCATAACTGGTTTATGTCATTGAAACTTGATATGATCAAGGCATTTGATAAATTAGAATGGAAAGCTATTCAGCTCACAATGCTTCGAATGGGGTTCGATTCTCAATTTGTCAAATGGATCATGGCTTGCATTATCAACCCTTCATTTTCAGTTAATATTAATGGCAGTTTGTGTGGTTACATTAATGCTACTAGAGGAATAAGGCAAGGGGACCCCTTGTCCCCTTACCTATTTCTTATAATTTCCGAGCTACTATCTGCTAAACTGAACTCTGAAGCTGAAAAAGGGTGTTTTAAGGGAGTCAGATTATCTAGGGAGGGACCTCTATTAACCCACCTCATGTTTGCGGATGATACTTTACTATTTTGCAAAGCAGATATGAGGCAGGTGGCCCTTCTTTTGAACATTCTGCAGGCTTACAAGGATTTCACAGGCCAAGAAGTGAACTTAACAAAATCCACAATCTTTTTCAGCAAGAATACACCCATGCAGGTAAGGAATAATATTTGCTCTTTGATGAATGGTATTCAAGCCCACTCTTCTACTAGATATCTCGGTCTACCCCTTGGAATTGGAAAATCTAAGCAAGAATCTTTTCAGTACATACTTTCGGCGGTTAAAAATAAAGTTATTAATTGGAAAAATAAATGGTTGTCTACTGCGGGCAAAGAAGTCCTTCTTAAAGCTGTCTTGCAGGCACTACCAGTTTATGCTATGTCTAGTTTTGTATTGCCTACAGGTTTGTGCAAAGAGATATCCAGTGTATGTTGTCAATTCTGGTGGAGCAAGGATTCTAAAGACCAAAGAGGTTTCCCTTGGGTGGCTTGGTGTAATCTGTCATTCTCTAAAGAGCATGGAGGGCTTGGTTTCCGAGATATCCAGCTATTTAACAAAGCCCTAATCACTAAGCAGCTATGGAGACTTCTGACAGAACCAAACACTCTTGCTTGCAGAATTTTGAAATCAAGGTATTTTCCTAATTGTTCACTTTTTGAAGCACAAAGAAAGCCTAACTCCTCTTGGCTATGGAACTCATGGTTATCTGTCTTAAAGGATTGTGGAAATTGGATGAGAACTGAAATTAGAAATGGGAAGAATACTTATATTTGGGATACTCACTGGATACCTAACAGAGTGGGCACAACAGTTGAACTCTTACCAGGAATAGACAGGGGAATTAGCAGGGTCTGTGATCTACTGGCAGAGGATGGATATCATTGGGATGAAGCTAAAGTTAGGAGAACTTTTTCAGCAGATTTAAGTGATTTAATCCTGACAATTACCTCGCTTAACCCTCAACAAGAAGATAGATGGGTTTGGACTCTTCACAAAAAAGGTATTTTTTCTGTACATTCTATCTACTCTAAACTTATAACAGAAAAATACCTTAAACTGGCCACAGCTCAGGGAAGTACAGACCTTGCTAGAGATATCAAAGTTCGGAAAAGAAGTTGGGGATTGAACATATTGGGGAAAATTAAACATTTCATATGGAAATGCTGTAATGGTTCTCTGCCGGTTAGCTGCAACCTGAAACTGAGGGGATTTGAAGTCAACACCATCTGTGGAGTCTGTGGAGAAAACCAAGAAACAGTCGAGCACGTTCTCTTTCATTGTATACAAGCACAACAAACCTGGAAGTTGGCTCCTGTTAACTGGGAAGGACCTGGACATCAAGGCACATTCAAATTATGGTGGTGGCAGATATGTACATTAGACAAATCAGATATTTCTGAAGCCCGAATTCAATTATCGACCTACATACGATGGTGGCTTTGGAAATCACGTAACTTGTGTATTTTTGAAGGAGTTCGAAGGCCTGCTCACCTCATTGTCCAAGGAGCTATTAACGATTGGAACAGTTTCTTGAACAAAAGGGAGATTCGGGCCAATAGCTAATTAATTGCAAATCATTTTATAGCAGACAGGCTAGGATCTTAAATCAGTGGGCTGTCTTTTATTTTTCTTGATCTTAGCTATTCAGGGGTAAAGGTTCGGTGGTGTTTCACTGCTTTACTTCCTGTTGCTCTCTATCTTTTGTAGTGTTTTGCTAGTTTATCTAGACCACCTGCGTGTGGCTCTCCCATTTTTCGGCTTTAGGTTTGATCTTTGTTATATACCAGCTGCTTTGAGTCCCTGATGTACTCTCGATGTAAACTATTTTGTTTAATGAGATTTCTATCGTCTTTGAAAAAAAAAAAGAAAAAAAGTCAAGCTGCTTTCATCCNCTCAAATCTCTCATTCTCAATGTTCTAAAAATCATCACATTTACTCGCAAGAAATCTCCAAAAAAAAGGAAAAGGGAACAAGATTTGCTGACCCAATTTCTCGTTTTGATTCGGAAAAACCCAAAAACCCATTACGCGAAAAGACCCAAAAAAAATGAGTGTGCTTCGAATTCCAGAAGCCATTGATCCTTCAGCCGATCTGCAGGTATGGAACAACGCCGCCTTTGACAACAATGGAGAAATCTCCGACGATCTGAGTTGGGGCTCGTTGAAGTAGATTTTCGGCAACCCGAAAGCTTCCTTCGATTCGGTTTCCGATAAAGAGAATGTCGGGTGGGAGGAGAGTAACCAGATTCCCATAGAGGAAAAATCGAGAACTGATCGTTTTCCGACCAAGGGCTCCGATGAAAAAATGGTCGCTTTGGATGAATTTCGAGATGAGAAGAAAATTGACGACGAAATCAAAGAAATCGAGTCTCAGATTATGAAGCTAAAGTCGAGATTGGAGGCCCTCAGGCTCGAAAAGGCAGAGATGAACATGAAAGCTCTCGATTTCAAGAAAACTGGCGCAGAGCCCAAGTCTCAGAAGAGAGGGATCAGTTTAGGGCCTGTTGAGATCATGTCCGGGGCCCGGAAAGGGACTCTTGTGGGGCCCACCGAGATTTTCGGGCTGGCCCGGAGAAAATCGTGCTTCTGGAAGCTGCAGGACATTAATGAAGAGAAGTCGATCTCGAGGGAAACGAGCAAAAAGGGCTTCTCGAGCATGAGCCCAAAATCACGACGAGCCGTGACAACAATCTCGACGAGAAAGACTTCGAAAAAGGATGACTCGGTTCTGAACTCGGTCCAGCCAAAGAAATTGTTCGGAGAAGGTGAAAACACGGGCTTTGCTGTGGGCTTTGTGGCTAGCAAGAAGAAGCCTTCGAGGCCCGGGAGAGTTGTGGCTAGCCGGTACAACAATCAGAATTCGGTTCAGACCCCTTCATTAAGAAAGAGGTCCTAGCCGGAAAACCATATCGATTTTAGCCAGAAATGTGATGCTAAACGGGCCTTGCCGGAAAACAGCAGAGTGAAAAGGCGTTGGGAAATCCCGAGTGAGATTGTCGTTCACGGCAGTTTGAATATAGAGAAGTCTCCTCCTCCATCGTCTATTGTATTGCTGCCTAAGATCAAAATTGCTCGGTTTGTGAAGGAAAGCCCTCGGGACTCGGGCCCGGATAAGAAAGTGGCTGAGTTAATTGGGAGAAAATCGTTTTTTGCAAAAAAATATGAAAGGTGGACTCGCCCATTTGTCAAGCTCTTACTTATGCTGAAGAGGATGAAGAAGCTGAGGAAGATGATGGGTAATTCTCGAGGCTTGTTTGTATCTGACTTTTAGATTCTTGTTATTGATGAGATGGGATTGAAGAAAGCATTATGATTTAGAGTACATAACTTGCCCATTAATGGTGTTTTGTATCTAGTGATACACTTGATTTGGTGTTGTGTATTGCAAATTTTTGTATTGAATTTGTTGTTTAGGCTAATTCACCATTGCTTCTTTTCATTGATTAAATGTTCATACCATTGGATAAAAATTCGTCAGTAGACGATAATTCGAAAGGAATGGCGAAAGTTTTGCGTGTATTGTCCGATGATTTTCACTCAGACGAATGGCATAAGAAGCCTTTGTTTTTTTTTTTTTTCCTTACAATGTATCTTTCAGAAAATGATGCAGAAAATATGAAAATGCAAGGAGATTCCTCTCGGCAATCGATTTTCAGATTCGACTTGAATCTCTCCCGAAGATAAACCTTCTCAACCAATCACCAATCACTAGAAACCTCGTGCGCCAGCTAACTTGCTTACTGCACTCGTAATAAACAAAACCTAAATCGATCAGTCCATGCAATGCATAGGTTTAAGTTAAACACTTGTTTGGTACATTGAATTTTTGCTGAAAATTTATGTGTAAACTGACCTTGCATATACTGAATACCATAGCCACTGTGTACTCCGGCCAAACGAAACCCAATCTCCGGGAAGCTCGGCTGCTGCTTGCTCCCCACCGAGAGGAGCAAATTGGCCTAAATGTCGATACCTAGCATTCAATAAAGTTACATATTTTAAAGACTTAACCGAATGAACTCCACACGATTTTCATGTTCCACTCGATTTTGGCGCAAACCGAACAAATATTTTTGAGACTTAACTGGAAAGGGCGAAATTCGTGTCGGCCCCCACTTCTAAACTTTCGAGGGCCCTCCGGATTTTTTTTACACTTTTCCATTTTGTTGAAGCAACTCGAAAGATATGCTCCTTGTTGAGCAGCAACCTGATTTTTAAACAACATTAAATTGATGTCTTAAAAAACCAAACCGAACTGAACAGAACACAACAAAACAGAACATACTTGAGCAGTTGCAGGAAGGCTCTTTGTCTGTTTATCCACCAAAGATAGTGCTAACTTGAAGCCTTCAATGTCGATTTCTTCTCGGTTATTTACATATCTACCCCTTAGCAAGTCAGTCACTTCCATTAGATGCTTGCTCTTCAAGTAAAGCTCGACTTGCGGGTAACGGATTACAATGTCGTCGATAACATCCTCAAACTCGTCAATCGTCAAAGTTCCTGAGTTGTCCTTGTCTGCGGCTTTAAATATTTCCGCTATATCTTCCTAATAAATCAAAAAAATCGATCGTTTGCATTATAGAAGCTAGCTAAAAGGAAAAAAAAAAAATGTCATTTCATTATGTAAACTACCACAATCTTTTTCTGATCCACAGTGGCACAATCACCCAATGCATATACTTCTTCACATCCCTTTACCCTCAGCCATTCATCGGTCGCAAGAACGCGCCTTTTTTCCTGAAAAACGGATCATATCTAATAGAATCGCAACAAAAATAGAACCTTTAGAAAGAGGGCGAAACATAATATTTAGAAAGATAGAATTTACCTGGCCAATTTGGTCCATGAAGTTCTTCACGACTGGCCGAGTACTAACTCCAGTTGACCAAACAATCATCCCATGTGGCATAGAGATTTCTTCTCCAGTTGACTTAGCTCTCATTTTAATCATTCGGTCGGAAACACTCATGACTCGATGTCCCGTTAAAACTTCGATCCCATCTCTTTGAAACTTCTGTTCGGCGAACGAGCTAATCCTTTCATCAAACCTAAAAATAATGAAAACAAAAGAATAACAAGCAAAGTAATAAATTTCTCTTACATATGTTTCGTTAGACTTCGAAAATCGTCAACTAGAATAGTATTTGATCGGTTACTCACGTATTCAATATATGATCACCGGATTGTATAACTGTTATGCTCACTAAATCCTTAACCGAAGGATAAATATTGACCAAATCCTCATGCACGAAATCGTGAAGCTCGGCAGCAAACTCCACGCCTGTGGGCCCTCCTCCGACTATTACGAAATGGAGATTCGTTTTTCGTTCTTCCTCAGTCAGCTCGGGTAAGACAGCTTTCTCGAAGCAATCTATTACAGTCCTACGAATCCTCTGAGCATCCTCAACTTCCTGCAAAAAAAACAAACATTAATGTTCATACTATTTTCTTTATTTCATTAAACAGTTAGAAAAAAAAATCTCTTAGTAGTAAAAGTTTCTTAATTCTTATTACCTTCAGAAAATGGCAATTTTCCAAGACACCCGGCGTGCCGAATGTATTCACTTGAGAGCCAATGGCGATGACCAAATAGTCGTATTCTAACGAGAATTCATTGCTTCCGGCTAAATTTTCGTCGATATTCGACCGGCAAAAGACCCTTTTGCCCATGTGGTCAATTTTTAGGCACTCGGCCTCCCAAAACTTAATCTCCCCATTCCTCTATCAAGATATTGGTTAAGAAAAAAAAAAAATCTAAGAGATTATTTGTAAAAATGATGCAAGATTAATTTTCTTTTTTCTTTTCACCTTCTTAATGATATTTCGAACGGGCTCGACAATGCTCCGGGCCTCGACTGTCCCACAAGTGACACTTGGCAGCAATGGGGTGAAAGCAAAGTAATTTCGAGGCGAAACCACCTGAACTTCGTAGTTCGAGATATTGAGATCTTTCAAGAAACTCGTTGCTGCCCATCCGGTTCCGAGTACTACAACTTTTTTCTTGAAATTCGACTCGTTTTGATCATGCGCTAAAAAAACCGGCATTTTCCTCTGGCCTGGCGAGTCGGCATATGCAACGAGGGCCCCACCACTGTAAAAATGGCACTCAATATATTATGTAAATCTTCCATATGAATCAACAAAACAAACAGAGAGAGAGAGAGAGAGAGAGAGATTGTTGCAAAGAAAAGCATAAAAGTTCATGCTCATGGGATTCAAGAAAGCGATGAAAATGATGACGATCAAATCCATAAGAAGCGAAAATAAGAGCGATCTATGGATCGATCTGAAAGAGTGATGAACAAAAAGGGGCCTTCAAAATAAGAATACACATTATATATATATGAAGAGTGGGAGTATAGATAAAATTCAAATCAGAAATAAGCGCAAACACAAACAATGATACATTATGTTGTTTTGATGAGATCGCAATATAAAACAAACCTGACAAAACAGAGGACCAAAGGCATGTTTGAAGCAGGGTGGCCATGAAGGAATTTGTTGAAACAATAAGTGAAAATTCTCATCTTTTTTTGTTTCACTGTTTCCTTTTTTATCTAGAAAAAGATAAAAAAAAAAATAATAAATTGATGTGAATCTTGATGATTCTGGACAAGGGTCACCGTGAATTGTTATTCAAGGTTGTTTGTTCATCGAAGGTTTGATCTGTTTTATTACAATTAAGAGCTTTGAATGATGTTGGTCAAAGGGACATTTTCAGTTACTACAATCTTGAATTCTTGTATTATTTTTCTCTAAACAAAACTTATGTAGGGTGGTGACACTAATGTTTGGTTTGGCCAAGAAAATAAATTGAAGTTGTAAGTTTATTTTGTGGATCATGTTTGGATTAATAAATTTTCACTCTAGTTCTCGAGGCTATAATTTCTCATGTGACTTACTATTATAACACTTTAGCTAACAAGCAAGATTTTAATGTTTTATGTCATAATTTAAGCTCCATCAAGTCATTGTCCTTTAATTGGTCTTTTAATTCCTGCTTAACTTTGTATTACAATCGTAGTTCTTCATAATGACTATTAAAGGTCCTTTAATTGTTGCCTAATTTTGTATTACAATGGTAATCTATATATATAATCGCATGCAAATAATTTATGATAATTTTCTAGTTCTCCGCCATTTTTCTAGGTTAGTTATAGTAATAAACCGTTACATATTACATTAATTAAGTAATAATAATGTTACTTAATTATTTTATCATATAATAGTAACTAAAAATAAACTAATTACATAAGTATTAAAAATGATATTGCAATTTTTTTTCAAATTATTTATCATAACATCAATATTTTTTGTTCATCTCATTAAGTGATTATTTTTTAAAAAACAAGCCAATTGATTTTAATTATATATATAAAGTGATTATTTTTTAAAAAACAAGCCAATTGGTTTTAATTATATATATAGTCAGATCCCTTAAAATCACATAAAACAATTGTTATAATAATTATTTTAATATTATTGACTAATTAATTGGTCACGATTTCTCAAAATTATAAAAATAACATTACTCGTTACATTATATTGTATAATTTATTAATAATAATAAAAAATTAATTACAATGCAATTATCTAACTTACAATCTTAATATTATACTTTTTATAATATTTTATTTATATCTATGTACAATTAAACATTGTTCCTTGGTAACTTCTAGTATGATTAGGGAAATCACAGAAGATTCAGATTTGGTCAAGAGGGTTATGCATACATATAATTTGAAATACTAATAAATAATTTATGCACACGTATAATTTAAAATACTAATTAATAATTTATGCATACATATAATTTAAAATACTTGTATACTAGATCAGAGTACTCTTTCTTCATAATGGTTATATATCGGACACTTATAAAAGCTAATTTCAAGCAAAAATTGAACTTTTCTTAAGTAGAATTTCATCAACCATCATAAGAGAGAAGTAGAAACCATATATACCAAATATCAAATGGTAACCAACTTGCCCATTTACGAAGACATACATTCTTTAGGAGGAGGATTATGGATTACCACCAATACACTTACAAGTTCAATGAATGAACAACTAGAAGTAACACCTCTATAAATACCACCTCTGCACATTGCATTCGACATTGAATAACAGAAACATAAACATAATGAGTAAAATATAATATAAACAGAAAAAATTAAATGGTTATGCATCACGTGTGACCATTTACTTTCTTTATGATAAAATAAGAGATCCTCAAAAGAAAAGGGTCAAATATGAAAATGATGATAA